ACACCACGACTTCCCTTCATGGCGTATTAAATTTTACGCATTTTTTGTTGCACTTCATTAAAATTATTTCCTTGAATTGATCTAAATTAATTAACAGGTCCCTCAAGACAAGTTCGATGGCTGGAAGGCTAAATGTTAAAAAAAAATCCGCTAATTCAAAGGATAGCTACAAAATCATTAAAATGCTCAAAGTCAAATATAAAAAAAGTGATTAAAGCTTATTTGAATCTTAAGTAGGAGAAAAAGAGCATAATATGCATCGTCTTTCTCCACGACAAATATAGCCGAACGCAGAACGCGCTGCTTCTCTTTATGAGAAACTTTATGAAAAAAATGGAAAAATGTTGTCACAATAGACGAATCTTGGGTATATTTAAATTACCGCAATAAAAGGAAATCCATTTATTATCATCATCAAAGATTAGGGGAAAAAATCTTCGAACATAGGTCAAAGAATTTAAAGAAAGGTAATCAAAAGAGATTTTTAATTGTTGCTGTTTTTTTATATAACGATAAATAAAAATTAAAGAGAGTACAAAAAACTGTTAACGTCAACTCTGCATATTATTAGGAACATATTTTATACCCAGTTTTCAAATATGAACCCACAGTGTCATCAACCAGTAGAGCTATCAAGATAAAGCAAGCAGCCGCTGTGGAAATCCACTGCTAATTTCCTGGAAAAATTGGAACAAGAAACGTGCATCAAGTTCATACCCTTCCCTCATATCCCTACTAAATCTTCTGATCAACTAAATATTCACTCGTAGCTCTACTAAATCGGCGGGTTTTTGCGCTTTTGGACGTTTAAAAAACGAATTGTCCAGACGTCGACCTACAACCCTTGCACTTTGGAAAGCTGTTCAAGAGAGAATAGGAAGAAATGCCTCTTTTAATACTAAAAAAGACTTTATTGTCTTGGCAATTACGGTGTAGAAGGATAGTGAAAAATAATGGTTATCAATAACAACAATACATATATTGGCTTCCCCGCCCCGTGAACCCAGTCACACTACTAGTCCACTCCGCCTTTGGGCACTTCGTGGAGGTTCAACCTCCACTATTACCCTTCCAAGGGAGCAGCGCACCACCTGGATAAGACACCAAGCAGCACCGGTCGTCAAGTTGCTCCTGCCAGTCGCAGTGGGCCTTTACCCAGAAAACCCGTGGAGGTAGGAAGTAAGATGGAGTCGCCCTAAACAAGTTTCTCCGTACCCTGCTCTGAAGCACCGGCGATCCCTACGTGGTGACCAAAACATTGGGTCATTTACCATTGAGTTCTATGGGATTTGACGCGTTCGGGTGTAAATATTTTGTAATTACGTCGCAAATATACATATAAATGTATATATTTTCTTTTTCTACAACACTTCAGAGTCCTAAGTATGGGAAAACAACATATTTTTAAACAACATTTCATTCTGAACGGAATTAAATGCTATACTTTTCACAGGACAGTTTTCTCAGAATGGTTTAATTTGAATGAAATATTTTCACAAGTTTTCGTTAATTACATTAGAAAAAAAATTAAGGTAATTCGATTTTATTCGGTTAAGGTACAAAAATTAAGATCAAAGTTTATTGTATTATTAATATTAAAATTATGCATTATTTCTTTACTATTTATAGAGCTTCTTCCTAAAATACTTTCTTAAATATGACATGATTTTTTGGCTTCTTTTAAATCGAAAAATGTAAGTCAATTTATAATTAATGCTCTATTCGGTTCATTTTAAATTAGAGAATTATTAGGAATTAGCGAAATACTTATAGGTATTAAATAGTACTTCTGATAGTATTTGACTTCTGAATTAGTTATTAAATAGTATTTGACTTTCTCTGAACATTTCTGAAAGGGAATAAAATAAGTTTTTTTTTTAAAGTATTATTTAAAACTTGTAACTGAGTTATTAAAATGTAAAGGGAATAATTCTTTTAATTATACTTATCAGATTTTTTTTTACCCTTCATTTCAACAATACATATTCCAAAACTCTTTATTACGTTCTTAAGTGCGCATCTCATAGCATTTGCTTTACAATACCTTTTAACAGATTGCTTTCCAATACGAACAATTCTTGCTTAAATAGTTTTATAACGTATTTGTCAACAGGATTTCAATTTATGTTTACAATTCAATATTAAGGTTATTATATATTTAGATAACATTTATAATCATTATAAATTAGATACATTTAATCATTAGATTTCTTCACAGTACTTTCACAGTTGTTTATAAGTGAATAAATTCTTCATTTCAAATACATTTATAAATAATTTAATGAATATTTAAGTGTATTTTGTCATTAAGGCAGATACATGCTTTTTGCAAGCACATGCATAAATACCCATACATATTTCCTATTTATCATTTCCGACATGTGCAAAATCTTTAATTTCTGTGCATTCACTATATTTTTCGTGTAAAGTAATTTACACTAATTTAGCATACACACGAAATTTTACATAAAAAATACTATGTGATAAATATAATTTGAATGAAAATTATAAGTATTACTTTTAATACCACTCAAAGGTCAGTTTTTCTTCAAAGTTCCTCCACGATGGCATCTCTCTCTTTAGGCAGATAGCCCTTGCATGCGTTACTCTATTTAATAAAAACTTAATCCTGACCTATGTGCCTAATTACAAAATATTTTAACATACATAATTTTATATTTACATTTAGCCATCAAGTTTCAAACTTTTCAAATCTTCTAGAAAATAAATTTTGGCAGATCTCTTTTAGCAATTTTCTTAAAATCTATATTTTTGTAGTGCAACAGCTTAGAATTTTATAAAACAAATTCATAATCAAAATCGCTGTTGTTAGTTATCGAAAAATAACCAAGATGTGATTTTTGCGTAAATGTCAGTAAACTATACAAATTGCTATTATCCATCACACTATGAATGTTTCTTTCATGCGAGAGTGTCCCTTTTTCGATTTCTATGGAACTGTCGTGTGTCGAAATACTATCAGAATCTTGTCAAGCGAGCTTCTGAATGTAAACGAAGAACACCCCGTCTGGTGACCCAAGCTTCAAAGCAGTGCTTCACTTCTAGCGCGGAATGGCCCCTCCTCCCTTTCCTACCTCCATGAGCAAACCGAGGGGAACTAGCCCTCCGGCTACGGTTCCACACCGCTCAGGACATGCCAGTCCCCGAGGCCGGCCAATAAGTGACCTTTCCCAGGGGCTTCAGAACCACCAAGTTCATAAATTTTATCCCCCGTGGCCGAGACTGCCTAGGTACAGATCCTAGCCAGTAGCTTCGCAGAGTTCTCTACGTCGACCTCCCGGGGGGGGGAAATAATGGTTATTATATGGAACATTTAAAACCCAAAATGTTTCGGTAAAATATTTCTGTAAATAAATGAAAATTGTCTAAAAAATGTGAGCACAGCCTCTGTATCTTTGCTTAACGAACAAATTACACATATAAGTATTTAACTGTATGCACCACCGAATACAGCAAAACAAAGTTTTTTCAGTGAAAACCGAATGAAAATTATAGCTTAATTTCTAAATTTTCGGTGAATTTTTTAAAATCTCTCAATTTTTTTAGACTATTTGACGTATATGATTTTGAAATTGCGACATCTAAAAGTGTATCCTCACTTTAGATGTCGCATATAAAGTTTTGAAGTTTTCGCAGGCACCCTCTTTTGAAACAAGAGTGATAAAATATTAATTATGAGCAAGCGTTAAGTATGATTGGGCGATTTTCTACTTTATTTTTAAAATGTGTTGCAGTTTGAAGCATACTGGGAAAAACGTTTCCAGTGAAAAATTTGCTTTTGAGTTAAAATACGTATGTTAATTAATGCTCTGTATGGTTAAAAATAATTTATCCTATAGTTTAATGGGAATAATAGAGTAAATAATTCTCTTTACAGAATTCTTATATAATTTTATATTACGAATAATGAAAACATGGAGAGCCCATGATAAATTAAAAAAGATATTAGTTTATTTATACATTTGACAATATAGTTAAATTAAGAGATTTCGTTGATTGTGCGCCCTGCGCTTTTATTATTCGCCATATAAATAATAGATGAATTCTGAAAGTAGAATTGTTTAATGTTTTTTCCCCATTTAACTATATGAAAAATTATTTTTCTCTTTTAGTGCATTAATTATGATATCTATTTTAAATAAAACCTGTTGTATGAAAGGTATGTTTTTAAATTTTATTTTGTTCTTGAATAAATCTGAACACCGAGGCATTTAATAACAGATACAAAGGTATAAAACTCAATAACAAATCCAAATTCTTTAATTTCATTCACGTGGATATACGAGTAATTTGTTCTGATAACATCATAATTTTTTTCCCTGTAAAAATTTAAAGCAAATTGTAAATAATTGTTCTTCCTCTATAAGATCTAACCTTTTTCGTTGTCATGCAATGTGACTACGTCTCAATGTCAAACCTGGCGACTTCTCGCACAGGTGTGAAGATGAAGACAGCAGGGAAAGGGTGTAAAGCCCTTTTATTTTTCAACAATTCTTTAACAGAAAGACGTAGATTTAAATGCGTATAAAAGCACCGACTACTTGCGGTAAGAACTTAAATAAATTGAAAAGGTAAGGATGTATTGCTAGCCTACACAATTTAATTTAATCTAACAGGCTAACTTAGCAATTTTCACCGACGATAATTAGTTGGCCGGAATGCGTAGCCGCTGCTAAGATTAACAGCTAGACGACAAAACAGCAAACGTGCGCTGCACTAGCGAAATCATGCACTGTCTAGCCTTTTCGTTTCACCCGTTTAAATACTATCTTTCACCCACTTAATTTGCACCATGGCAAGGAAATGCGAGGGTAAGTATTCAGAAAAGATGCCAAAATTAAAATAACTGGTTAGTCAAACTAAGGGGAACCCTACAACGCAACTAAGCCTAAAGTGCAATATATTTATTATGTGTTGTTATCAATGTATAACACGTTGTGCAAACTTTTGCGAGAATTAAAATTATATTTTTAACTTACCTCCTTTCGCTTTCCCAAGGATAGTGAAAACAAGCATATTCCAAATTGATGATGCCTGAGAAGTTACTAAATGACTTGCAGTAACCTAAAATAAGTTTGATAGTGCAAGTATAAATAATCTATAAGTAAAAAATTATCTCTGTATTATTAAAGCAAGGAAAATATTAAATATCCCTCGAAACTTACACTCGTTAGATCGCAACACTTTTTTAACAGATAATCAAAAAGTTCTCGAGAAGTTTTGAATTTTTCAAATGCAATGTGGTAACCTTCACATGTCTTTTCTTCTTTTCGAAGCTTTTTGTCGCTCAGTAACAAAACCTGGAAAAAGGAAAGATATTCAATCTCTCAGCAATACAACCTGGAAAAGGACCCAACATTTTCATTAAGTTTCATCTTCTTGTTTCCCTGCGGTAACAAAACACATTTGATCCATGGTAAACCTAAAATAGTGCATGTGTATTTTGTAATATAGCTAGTTGCATATTATGCAACTATCTATAATGCAACTAGCTATAAATATAATCAAATTACTATAAAAGTTATAAATTTGTGGAGTATCATAATAAATAATGATTATAAAAATGATTTAGAATAAAACATAAATTTAATATTTAGTGAATACTTTATTTCTTTATTTAGTCCAAGTTCATTAAAGCTGGTTGCTGTTATCATATATACTAAAACTTCTCGTGAAAGCTGTGGATAGAAAGGAAAAAACATGAGACTCAGAGTAAGTTTCTCCATCTTTATAGCAAATGGAGAACAGAAAGAAACTTCACAAGGTACACGGTGGTGATAAAATAACTTTATCAATAAGCACAGACTCGATAACTCTGAGAGCGATGAATCTATAACAACGTTTGTAGGATAATTGTATGCCGAGATTTCAGGATAGCATGAAATTCTGCATGATATGTTTTTATAGAACTAGAAATAGTGTGGATATAATGAAAAACAGAAATTGGTCTTTAAATAATTGTGAGTCGGGCAGTAATTGCATAGATGCAATGGAAGATGGTGTTAAGAAATTATCCCATTCCTTCATACGCACTCGTTCAGTTAAAAGATTATCAATGAATCAGATCCATGAATCGAATCCTCAAGAAGACAAAGCTAATTTCCTTTGTTTTCTAGTCTGAAAGGTTTAATTTTCTCTACGACGATGTACGAACTAAATTGCGGTGGGCCATAATTTGTTACCCACTGGATTTAGTCGACTGGTCTCATGGTTCTCTGCAATTTTTAAGTGCTGGACAATGCACAGAATTTTTCCAGTCTCAATATTATTCTCGTGGTGTAGGTAATTACCACGTTCAGTTAGCAGTTGCAAGATTCGAGGCTCGAATCTCGGCTAGGACAATGTTAGATTTTTCATGTTAATGATCCGAAATATATTACAAAACGAGAATTTCCCATTACGACATAATATTGCTCACGAATTCTTAAACCAGAACATTGATAATGAAGATTTTCAGTTGCGAATTATCTGAACTTAGCCTAATTTCACATCAACTGGACACTGAACATGGATAATTTCATCTATTGATTCGATACCACCAGAGTTCTCACCTCTCCCGGAATTGAGTTCTGAAAATTAAAAACTCCCGGCTCCCGGAAGGAATTTAAAATAAATATTACTCTCCCGGAATATCAAGTTTCTGGAAAATAACGACACAATGTGCACGGACGAAATGGTTGAGAGCATCGAAAATCGCACGACCGCGCACAGCAGCCAAAGAACGTCATGTCAATACATATTCTTTAGAGCAGCGATCTACGGTGAGCGTTGAGTAAGCGCCTTACGGGATGAGTTGTGGTTTCAGGCCGGCGTGTCGCGCGCACGCGCATTCATCTCCCCTTACTCTCTCATTTTCAATCCATTCTTTCATTTAGTCTGCAGTTAGCTAGCTATCTACAAACAAGTGCGTATTTTAAAATTATTTAAATGCTTTCATAATAATGTCTAGTGAAAAAAACGATTCTGATTCTACAAGTAAACAAATGCCACCAAAAAAAAAAAAAAGACAAAATATTCGACGTCGTTTCAAGACAGGTGGTTAACTCAAGTTGATTAGCTTACGAAGAGAAACAACTTTAACGGAGAATGTAAAGATGTCGGAAAACGGTTAATATTAAGTATGAGGATGTTAGAGCCAAAGAAAGTCTATGTAAAGAAGGAAAGGCTCTATAGACGTAATGTAAACCAGTTTATCTTCTACGCCACTAGAAAGAAAAGGGACAATTCGCCAAGGGATTTGGCGACGGAACCTGTTGGCGAGAATTTCTCCCTTTGTGAAGTACCTGGCCGAGATTTTCCACCTCTGCCACGTGTACAGGAAATTGAGGAACACTGGTTAAGATGAATCGTTCTTTGACTTTTCGCGATAATTTAAACTCGAATTTTCGTGCTTTTTTGCTTTACTAGTTGAAGTTGTATTATCCATATCGCAGTTTGATGTCTGATTTTATATCTGTCAATATGTAGGGAAAAAAAATGGAGTCACACAGCTTTAAACTCGTTGTGAAAAAAACACAGCCCGTTGTGATACACGTGACCGTCGAACCTGTTCGAACTTCGACATCAGCTTCGAGCTTTGGCGCTTTTTGGCGACAGATATTCCGCGCAGTTGTGTCCCTTTTCGTTCGGAGGGAGCCACTCCTGCTGCTGCGAAGCTTTCCTTCTTAACAATACATATTCTTTGGTTAGAGCTTTAACTGTACATTCCCAAAGCAAGAAACGCCAGTCGTTAATATTGATTAGGGATTCTTCGCAATCGGTTTCGAACTTTTTCATGAAGAAATATTCAGAAGAACAAGACAATATATCAGCAACTGAAATTACTTCACTCTGTCATATAATTAAGGACCATCACCAATAGCCAGGATTGCACAAATTGTATAGCCACTCTATTTCCAAATTCTTCTTTGCCCAAAACAATTTCTTGTGGTAGAACAAAATGTGCAAGTATTTGCGAGAGTGTGCGTGTTCCTGTAGCTCAAAAAACACTTTTAAACGAGATTAAGGAGGCAGAGATTTTTTCAGTTCCGACTGAAAAAGAACTTTTTTTTCTTCTCCCAGAAACTTTTTTTGGACCATTCATGGACGGCTCACAGAAAAGAGGCTAAGGTCACGGCGCCCCTTGCGTCGACTACCATTGACGCTCTGTACAACGTCAAGCCCGTTTGCAGTGGTGTCGGGCTCATTCGCACTGGAATGTCACTGACTGGAGTAGAATAGTATTCAGTGATGAGTCTCGCTTTGAAGTGAGCTCCGATGACCAGCGAAGGTGAGTCTGGAGAAGCCCCGGACAGCGGTGTGATGCCCTGACTGTCTTACGGCAGACAGGCCGACAACCAGGAGTGATGGTCTGGGGTGCCATTTCATTTCATAGTTGGACCCCTTTGGTTGTCATCCGTCACAACTTTACAGCACAGCGGTACGTCGACGAAGTTCTAAGGCCCGTTGTGTTGCCCTTCATGTCACTCCACCCTGGGCTTACATTTCAGCAAGATAACGCTCGCCCCCACACTGTACGCGTTTCTACTACTTGCCTTAGTGCATGCCGAATATTACCTCGGCCAGCAAGGTTGCCGAATCTCTCTCCTAATGAGCACGTTTACAGCATTATGAGCAGGGCCCTCCAACCAGCTCGGTATGTTGACAACCTAACGCGCAATTTCGAAAAATTTGGCACGATATCCCTCAGGAGGACATCCGCAAACTTTATCAATAGATGCCAAGCCGAATAACTGCTTGCATAAGGGCCAGAGGTGATCAAAGGCGTTACTGACTTTTTCACTTTGTGAAGCTCTATCACTTCAATAAATCATGCAATTTTTCTCAAACTGTAATCATTTGTTTTTCTGTACATGTGCATCACTTCTACCGATTTTCGTCCCATTTGGATAACTCCTTCTTGGTGCGTTTTTTTTTTTTTTTTTTCTCTAAAAGTTTTTAATTCGTTTTTTTGCTGTATAATGGATACGCATTATGAAATGCTAATCATGATCCGTATCAGTTATGTCAATTATCTGTATTTCATGATAAGAATGAGATCCCTCTTTTGTGAATGAGCATCGTCTAATTATTACAAGCACCTAAAAATTTCGATAGTAAAAACCAAGAGATTTATCATTCTTTATGCATTCTACCAAGATCTAGATTTAGATTCAATTATCGGTTATTTTGAACACAGCAAAGCCCAAAAGGGCTATCTGCCTAACGTAAGGGGTGCCTTAGTTTCTTTCTAAGGGAAACTAGCTTGCATTCCTGTTTCACATCAGGAAAACCAAGCAAACCGAGCAGCTGAACTGCCAGTATTCGAATCTTGATTCAGAAGAATTTTAATAATAGTAATATTTGGGAAGTAATATTCGGGACTGAACAAACTATCAGTAATATTTGGGAAGTATATCAGTATATTTGATTTTTTTCTTTTATAAATCTTATGCGAATTTTTAAATTAATGTTAAAACGTGGTTGAATTTTACCAAAATATTTCAGTCTATTTATATTTATCATAATAACATGTTTTGCTTACCCTTAACAACCCAAACAGAGAAGAAGGCTTTGCTGTATCTCCATACTTTTCTTTGCATGCTTGGAACATTTCTTCATCACGTATTATTCTACCGAAAAAGGCTATCATAGAAGCTTGGGAGAAGTAATCCATATTTTCAGATTCCTGACCACGAAACATCTAAATACAGTTTTAGTATAAAAATGCATAATTAGAGCTTTTAGTAAGTAAACGAAATACAAGTAAACTTGGAAATTACTCAGGCGATTCAAACGAAAACCTTAGAAGTGCAGAAAATTTGCAAAACATTGCGTGCGCGACTGATTTGTACCTTGGCAGGAGTTGTTATCTTTATGTTTTCAAGAATGACCTACACTTAACAACTTTATGCTTTACTATGAAGATGGAAACAGAAGGAGTGCAAATATGGCGGCCCATTGACGACATCCGTCGTCAACCTGAAGCAAGAAGATCGAGTAAGGAATGGTGCCGTAGCTCACTGCTAGATGCAAATGGGTTAATTTTGAAATATTGCATAGAAAAAGTAATTTCAGTTACATATTCATCTTGTGCAGGTCTGCTTCAAAGTCTCCTTCGCTTTTCAAACAGAAGTAAATGACAAAGGCTTCTGACTTCAAGTGTATTGTTACTGCACGAGAATACTGACCGCATACTACCCGATTAATAGTTGCGATAATCCAGAATATGAAATCTTGAAAGTCTCGAGCACCAAATTCCTACAGTTAACTTTTAAGTATTTGGACAGCTCAAAGAGGGGATGGCAGATAAGGAATTTTAAAGAGACGGAGAAATGAAAATCTTGGTACACGAGGTATCCATGCACTTCCGAAGCAATAGAATGCGCACATTGAATGGGTATTGTGCCCAAAATTTATAATTTTCTTTATTTTCTCAAAAACATTTAAGGTTTTGATTTGAATCATCTTCGTGTATCTTAATATGAAGGCTTTATAAAATAAGATGATCCACAACTCAATAAACGCTTAACAATACAAAAATGAATTGCTATAAATATATTACATTTCATTAACATATAATAAGGTGAATGCATAATCCGATATACTTATAAAATAAAAAAACTTATGACTTCTTAACACATATTTTTTCATGTGATATGCTATTAAAATATAAATTATAAAATGAAGGGAACTTAATCTTACGTCTGTGACACCGAACATGCCATGATTGTAAGCCACCATCATACCGCTGTAAAAATATTGGCACCGAACTGGAGGAATCCATGGGGTAACTTCATTCTTTAAATCAAATTAAAAAAAAATGGTAATTAAAAATATTGCAGAATTCTAACGAAAAGAATCTATTCTTATAAATATACATTCATGACATACTGAGAGCAGTAAAATGTTATGTGATATAATTCTGCATATATGCAGAAATATATATATATATATTCTGCATATATATATATATATATATGCAGAAATATATATATATATATTCTGCATATATATGCAGAAAAAACCTTACATTGTATTTTTTGTATACAACTTAACGCACTTTTACTAGTAAAAGTGCGTTAAGTTGTATACAAAAAAATACAATGTAAGGTTTTTCTCCCTTCTTGCCGTGTGCCTTCGTGGTGTAATTGGAAACACGTCCAGCTAGCAATCAGGAGATCTAGAGTTTAAATTTCGGCGACCGCATTGCACATCTTTGATATTTTTCGGTTAAAAAAACTCTACAGAATCTACAATGTATATGAATAAAATTTGAAACTTTTTATGAGTTTTTTAGTTTGCTCTTGAGATACATAAATTATTTTTTGCCTGTGTCTATATGGCAAATATAAGCTTTGAATTTTACATAAAATGTTTTTATTTTAAATAAAGCATATTTTAGGGTTATAATTATCAAGCTCATATTTAAAAAAATAATACTCTTGTGATGTTTTAATAGGAAAACCTCAAGAATTCATGACCCTATTTAGCTAGAAGCGCTGTTTGAAAACTTTATTTTCGTTTGAGTATGATACTTTAGAATTAAAAAATATATAAAATATTACAAGACGGGTTCTGTTTTTACGTTTATGTACAACTAATGATAGCAATCAAATATCTATACTTACTATTGCTTCATGACATGATTCAGATGAATGTTTTAAATTTTGTAGGCTTTTATGTAACATATTCATCTTAAAGATCTAAAGGATTGGAAAAAGGACTGATTCTATGTATCCTAAATTCTTATAATTATAGCACTGAGATATATCAACCTTTATATTAAGACCCTTTCAGAAAAATACATAACTGCGCCGTCCGGATCCATCTAGTGGCTAGCGCTGTCGCCTGTCATATCATTAGGTTTGAGTTCCAATCCTGTAAAAAGCTTAGATGAAGGGAACTTTCAAGGCTTCGGGTAAGCCGAAGCCTTGGAAGCTTGGGAAAGGCTTTAAGCGTACATTATCTCTGCGGATGGGGGCACTTAAAAATGCTGGCGAACAGGATTCCTTGTGGAAAGATTTGATGGTAGAGGGAGATTAGTCGAAGATCCTAAGATCTGTCCCTCTTCCATCAAAATTCGATAAAACATCTCTGCTCTCATAGATGTAAAGTCAGTCAGTCGTCCTCCGTGGTGCACTTTGAGCAGTATTCTTGGTAATGATTAGTATTGGCCATTCTTGTCGATGGCATTAAGTTGGAAGTCTCTGGTCATTTGAAGAGTCAACAAACAATACATCACTCCCGCAGTCTTTAAAAATTTTCAAAACTCTTTAGTAGAACTTATATTTTGACTTTATTACTTTGAGATCACCTTCATTTTAAACTACAGCTGGTTATTTGAAAACCAGAACTTGATTAAACATTACAGTTTAATAATCTCACTATATATGGATTCAAAGTAGAAATCCAAAGATTGATACATTTTTCTTACAAAATACATTTAACAGAATCTTGCCTTTGTCTCTTCGAATGTGAATCTTGCCTCTTCGAGGAATTTCAGCTACAGCTGACGAGAGACGGGAAACACCATTATTCTACCAAAAGGTTAAGTGGCATGCTCTCGCGTCCCGTCATATCTAACGCTAGGAGATACATCCAATAACACTGCAAGATATTGTTGCCATTGTGGCTCAGGAGACATAATTACATAATTTATATAATTATTACATTATTCAAATCGCCAAATATATTCAAATATATTATTCAATCGCTTTTCAGCGACATTAAAATCGCTTTTCAGCAGAACATACACTTGCGACAGTACACATTACAATTTCACTTTACAAAGACAACACATTAGAAATTTTATAGAAATTTACAAACGTATACTGCGGTACATCCAGATACAGTAGTAGTACAGAGAGTTAAACTGCTAGAAACAAACTGAGTGAATATTAGATTCTTATTCTAGGTACTGCTCCTATCAACCTCCGCCAAAAAACGAGGCATATGTCGGCTACGTATTTTGCAAGCTTGTCGATAATCTGGGCGATCCTTGCTACCAGATGACGTTGTTTTACTATAAACTTGGTCTTATCCTTTATACCTATTGGAGAACTCGTCCGAAGTTTCGAGTTTCCTTATGAAAAAATGCTTAATTCTTCTAACGGTTTTGTAAATCATACATTTGCTTAAATACGGACATAATTTAATATTCTCACGTGTCGTTAATTACACATCTCATTTCGTTAATTACACGTCTTGTGGCTTAAAATGAAATTTTTCCTGCAAGCCAAGTGGGTATTTTCTGTGTAGAAACGATTAGAGTTACCGAGCCTGGAATTATTTGTGCCTTCATCGGAATAAGAGTCACCAATTTTTAACTACATTGCGTGACATTACGCATTTACTCAGGAAAAGAGAATACGGGGAAACACAGTAATTTCTTATAACCTCAATGCAAAGTAAGGAAAACTTGCTTTGCTTTACCGTTTATTGCACTGCATTTCCACAAATATCACCTTATTACTAAAACAGTTTAAGTTGCATAAGACTAAAGACGGACCACATTCGTTTTGAGAAACTTGTTTTCGTGTTTTCTGTATTAAAATTAAATAACAATAAACATTATTTTTTTTCAGCGTTAAATAAAACGTTTCGTAAAGTGAAGTTAAATTTTGTTGTCTCTAAATAGGAAACTTAACAGTGAAATACAAATCCTTGAATTTTTACTTTTACTATTTGTAAAAAATTAATGATTTTAATCAAAAACTAAAGCAAGGTATAAAAATTTTTAAATGGGAAACTAAAAACATATAAATGAAAATAACATGTAGATAGGTTAAGAGCAAACCCTTTTATTATTTTGCAGGTAAGATTAATAGGTAGGTTAGGTAAGATTAACAGATTAAGACAAAGTTCACGAGCGCTGTCTTCTTAAGGGGAATTCATGGAGGACATAATAAAAGAAACTGGTTCGTAGTCATGTTATACACAGAGAAAAACACGAAAACTCCCATGCAGCAGCTGTTTCACCTTAATTCGTACTCACATAGAACTACTAGTGTTTAGTGATTTTACAGCCCAGCAGATGATAAACCAAGGTCGATAAGGATAGGATTTAAATAATCGATAACTTTTGTAATAACTTTTGTAACTAGTCCAAATAACTGAAAATTTACTGCATTTCATGTAAAATATATTCTACGCTGTTTCGTCTACGTCATCAGAATATGTAAATTAGAGGATTTTTAAAAGAACTAAGAGCCAAAGTTTAAAAGAGAGAAAATCGGGAATGCCAGCCGTCCCTAAAGAAATTATCAGATTGGATCCTACGTAGGCGATAGTTCTACCAATCAACGGGTTTGCTTTTATCTTTGAATATTAAGTTGTACGTGAATTTAACCGAGCCTTGTACCAGCATATGAGCTTAAACATTTGAAATGTACATAAAGTGAATTCATTATTCTTTGCTACTTGCGTGAGATGCGGAAGTAAGTTTGTGTTATTAGTTTAATTCTATACTTCGAGATGAAGAAACAAATACATTTTTTGCTTTTATTTTTTAATATTCATTTAGTGTTTTGATGCCTTTAGTTATATCCAGGAAAAAAAATTCAAATTAGATTAACTTTAAAAGTTATATTTAACTTTTTAGTCTACCAGGTAGTAATATTTAGATTAAACGAAGCTGATTTGGATCTTATATGTTCAGATTCGAAGTTTTTTCCTATAGTTAAGTCACGAAGATTGCTACTTAATAGTCAGGGGTTTGACAATAGAATTTTAAGCTATATATTACCACTTAATTCTGATAATTTTATACAATACTTACATAGAATGCTAAGGTGAGCACTTTATAGAAATATTCCATTCCCAAAGGTGACAATGCTCCTGGTATGACTTCTCTAATTATGAAACAGATTTTTAATTAGCATTTTTAGTCAAAATAACTTAGCTTCCATAATAATATTGACATCTTTACAAATTCTAGCTTATCAAATCAACCATTTTTTTTTTTTTTTTTTTTTTAATTGTCAGATCAGTTTTCCGAAAATCACATTCTTATTCTTTTAATGCTTAGCAAGCTTGTAAATTTGAAGTTTTTTGTAATCTATCCAATGGTAGACATACAATAAATTAAAGTTCACATTTTAACTGCTAATTATATTAAAAGAATAATATATGTATCAGTTCAAAGCAAGTTTGCTTATGCATACAAGCATTTGATGTAATTTCTGTAAATTAGAAATTGGTCATACCTTTAACATCGTTATTCATATCATCTCTAAATACTTCTCTATAGCGTTTACTCTTATTAAGAACCAATATGCATTGAGTGGATTTGTTTATTTAATACTGTAAATGAATTTTATAGCCAAAAACAATCACCGAAAGTTATAAATAATTTCAGAAGATATTTCTGAATGTTCTTATACACCTCTACTTAATTAGCTCTTATGTAGCTCTACTTAATAGCAAATTGAATTTACGTTATGAAGGCCAAGATGATGAATGTGCTATATAGAGCTTCGATCTCGAGGTGATCAAATTTAACTCCTATGATAGAAAACTTAACTACAACCATGATAGAAAAACTAGTATTTAGTGATCTTACAGCCCAGCAGATGATAAACCAGCCAGCAGATGATCAAATTTAACTACAATCATGATAGAAAACACCCTAGTCTTAACCTTCCAAACACAATGGAAAGCGAACGATCAGCGCAGCTAATTTTTCTCTTAAAATTTATTAGTTGAAATGTAGCACGCAGAGATGCAAATTAAAATTATGCGTATTCAACAAGAATACACATGATTAGAATCAAGAATGGGCGAGCTTTACCAGCAGGATTATACTTTTAATTCTTTCAACACGTTTTGTGACCGCCTTGGTACTCCCTGTTTTTCTTACCTTCTACCGAGACAAAGTATATTGCAAAATTCGAAGAATTAGTACTAAAAACAATACAGCTCTTCCAAATTACCGGCAGATAAGATATTCCTCTGCCACCAGAAATGCGCAAAAACAAAATGCTCTCTTGCAACCAGAATTAAATTTAAAAAAAAAAAAAACAGCAGTCGAAGACGCATCACATTTTACTGAACCTCTTACGCACCTTGTTAAAACGATAGCCGTAAAAATTATCGAGAAACCAAATCTTGATAATGCTAACATCCCTAAAAACCAGTTTCAATAATTAGAAGGTGCGCCAGATTTAGAGAATATAATGCTTTTTTTACACACACATAATTGAAGAGGATAGGTCCTATTCAGTCTTGGCAAAAACAAAAGTTTTTCAAGTTAACTACAGCAAATGGAGCAGATTACGTACCCCTCCATACTTCTTAATTGACAATAAAATGTAATACAAATCGTTCAACCTCAAATATTAACATCCCACTAAACTTATTAGAAAGCTTTTTTTTAATCCAATATTCTAACCAAGGTCATACAGACTGCAGCTGAGGCTCTTAGATTTTCCGTCTACAGAATTTTACCACTCAAGAGATTCAAGAATAAGATTCCAATGCCTTTATCTTAAATTCAAATCCTTAATGAAAGCGTATGAAGTGTATATACAACGTCACAGAGCTTCTAGGAAAAGAAGTCAAGATTGAAACTTCCAGAGGCTTATCTCAATGCTGGCGTTGACAGGGCTTTACTCATGGTTTTGAAGTTTGCGATCTACCTCAGAAGTGTCTCCGTTGTGCTGATCCTTACCAAGCTAAAGGTTGTCATAAATCGTAAGAGATGCACCCTTGAGATGTACCAATTTGGAGGATCTCATGGTGCAAATTGGAAACCTTATCAACACTTCTCTAAATGAAGATCTAACAACAACTTAAACGGAAGTCCTAAGACCAAGTCTAGCTTGACCTTTGATCCCTCAAACAATTCATCGCCTGCCAAAATTAATACATCCAGATCGTCTTATGTAATCACCAATACAAGCAGTGTTTGTTTCGAAGTTTCTTACTTCAGTGATCTTACAAGTATGCAACTGGTCGCTATACCTTTTGTGCAAAATTCATCGGTACTCACAAGAATACTTCTAACTAAATTGCATGAGCGTCCTTTTGTCTGTTAACAAATTTCTAACCAGCTTATATTAAAGAGCATAATCTTCTCTTAGAGGTTACAAAATGTTTTGCCTCATCTGCGAGTGTCTCCGTCTTCAGTTTCCTGATTTTCTCAACCACTAAAATTCAGTACTTTTAAAGGCTTGAATTTCCTTAAACTCTTTCTAGAACGCTAATGGCATTATGCCGAAGCTCCACGAACTCACAGATTATGTGTCTAAGAAGGGCTTTAATATTTTACATGTTCAAGAGACCAAACCTAAAGTAGTGAGTTTCCAGTATTGCAAACTACAATTTTATCATAATGACAGACAAACTGTCGGTCTTCAAAAATAGCTCATGAAATACTCCATCCGGTTTTTTTCGGAGCAGGATAAATAATCTTAACTTCATCAGGATTCAAACCACGTAACCTTCCACTTACTAGCTAGACGTACCCACCTATTAATGATTAGCAGAGACACCACCTAACCTCTTTTCTCGCGTCACTGTATATCTTATAGTGTTAGATATGCTGGGACATGCATACACAGAAATAGGCGAAAGTTTTTGGGATTACTGGGGCAGGCTTGAAATCTAGTCAACCAAGCCAGGACATGTTCACCACATTTTATTTGGCTGCTACTGTAACTGATATAAGTATTTTGTATCAGAAAACACAAAACAAAATCAGTTGTCTTCAAACCAAGATTCGAATTAAAAATTTGTACACAATAGTTTTCCTTAAAACAAAGTATGAAACGTTGGCACATTGTGTTAAAGTTCATAAACACAACACGTTTCACAGTACACAATTAACATATGTAATAACCTTAGAAACAATTGTGTAGCACGATATCATCTTTTTATGTTAATATTTAAACACAATTAACATATGTAATAACCTTAGAAACAATTGTGTAGCACGATATCATCTTTTTATGTTAATATTTAAACACAATTAACATATGTAATAACCTTAGAAACAATTGTGTAGCACGATATCATCTTTTTATGTTAATATTTAAACTATCACGTATAAATATAAAACAGACAAATAGATTATCAATAAATTTAGTTACACTCTACCTGGAAAGAAAAAACAAGTAATCCGTATAACTAGAATTCCAGGTAATTGGAAAGGAAACATTAGAGTTTCTTCTGTGATTGTCGTAAATAATTACATCAAGACAGGGTTAAAAATGTATATAATAGTGCAATGTACATAAAAGCATAGTAAAAAGATACAATCGGGTGACGTTTGAAACCCATTTACTTACCCAACATTACACACAGAAAAGAAATCATTCTCGATTCGAAGGGGATTATCGAATTCGTGTTCTATTTCAAATGACGTCTCATTTGTGCCACTGGTAACAGGACGAGACTAAAAATAATGGAGACAAAATAACGATAAAAAAACAATCTAGATTTCCAAAAAAAGACAAAACTATACATGCATAGTATTAGCTTCAAAGAATAATGTAAATAACTCATTGATTATATTAAAATACTTCAGAAAAAAGAAGAATTCGTTAGAAAACATCAGGGTATTTAAGTCAGACATAAATAAAATAGCAAAAGGTTCCTATAACTAGTCGTTTTAGCTGTATGAAACCGAAAAAAATGAATAACTAGTAATGTTCAAAGCTTTTGTATATTAGAAGTTTCTGAGACTCTTTAGGGAATAAAAATACTGCCCAGTCAATGTAAGCAGGTAATAAATCTCATGGGGCTTTGAGTAAGTTCCATGTTCTACCCTCTTTCATCACTAACGAAGATTTGCTTTCTTAATGGTGCTAGAATTCCCATTGCATGTTTAATTTGGCTCGAAAAGGATACAAGAGCATGATATAGTATAACTTTAGAGATTACACATGTTAACACATGACATAAATGATATGCCTACTCTCTGCTTCCCTTAGTGAAGAAGGAATCTCATGGTGTTAGGTGTTAGATTAGGAATTCCATGGTGTTAGGAATTTCGTGGTTAGGAATTCCATGGCGTTAGGAATTCCATGGTGTTAGGAATTTCGTGGTTAGGAATTTCATGGTGTTAGGTGTTAGATTAGGAATTTCATGGTTCATTAGGAATTCTCCTTAGGAATTTCATCGTGTTAATGCAATTATGAAGGCATGTAAAAATTTAAAAAGAAATAAAAACAAAAAAAATTTCAATTTGATGATTTAATCCCTGTAAAAACTTGTCTCCATCCCTTTTGCATTAATGTTCAGTATTTTCATATGAACAGAATGCTCCTTGAAAACTTTTGAATCGAATTATGTCATCATTCTCCGAAATTCGTCCTTATACAGTCAAAATGGCAAATCTTTACGAGGGAAGAAAAACAGAAAAGTCTCAGTATGCCAGATCTGGAAAGAGAAATTCAGCGGGAGCTCTCAAAATTTCCTTTTGCCAAAACGACTACATCTTCGGAATATCATCGCTTGATATACCGTAGCGGTGAAGCAAAATGTTTGTTTATTTACTCAGCTGAGGATTATTTATTTTCTTTCTTTTTTTTTTTTTTTTTTTGGACAAATGCCCTATTTCAGCAAGCAGCTTAAAAACGTCGGAGTAAAACTTGTCATTGGATGCCCTACAGTTATGAATTCTTAGTGATAGATCCTCTGCGTTTCTACGAAGTAATTCCTTGGATTATTGTGAGGCCCTTGTTTTTTATGTTCTATTAAGAGTCCCATTTTTAATGGAAAAGTGCTCGGTAGACAGACCCAGAGATCTCCTACAACCCTTTAACGCAACTACATGAGGAACTTTCCGCTCGACAGTTTAAAAGCCTCCAATGCCTGAAAGGCACCATAGATTTACAAACATCGACACCCTCTTCGAGATTCAAACCCAGGCTCAGCGGCAGCCCACAAGGCTAAGCGTTATACCAATTAGGGTTACAGTCTTACGTTTAATATTCCTCGGTCTCTCTGATCTTGGCTTGGAAAATTAAGAATCCTTCCCTGTGAGACGTGTTGCTTTGGCTCAAGATAGTTATAAACACCCAAAGTTTCCATCCCTGTAATTTGAATAACGGATGTCTGCAAACGTAATGCTGGATTTATAATATAAATACAAATAGAGACTGCTTATTCAAAGCCTGTCAGACACTAATTACTCTCTCAAAAAGCTGTTGGACTAATCTAGTCTTAACTGCTACTGCAACTGAAGTAAACTTTCAAACTTGGATTCTAATTGGTCTAATATCCATTGCTTTTTGTTTGCCAGTTACATTTATTTTAATCCATTTTTTCGTACCAACATTCTTTCACATATTTTTAATCTACGTTTATCTTTTATCTTCATCTATCCCTGTATAGTGAGAGGGTAAGCCACGTATTAGATATTTTGTGCACGTTTAGAAATTTCTAATACTCATCTTAAATTTATCGATTTTTATTTCCTAGTTTATTTTTATTAAATAAGAATCTCAATTTTTAGTTTATTTTTTCAATTATGAATATGTATTTTAGTATTAAACTGTATTAGCTACATTACATTTTAACTGTACTTTTTTATTCATTTCTCATTAGTTAAGAATTAGTAGTTTATTTTTTATACTCACTTGAAACAGGTATATATTGTTGTTCTGGACACCCCATTCTATATCTCTATGCGAACGATAATATCTTTCAACCTATGTATTGAAAAGCGGCTGATTAGTGTAAGGAAATTTATTTTATATAACAGATAACTTTTGATCCAAATACCCTTACTTCAATTCCGAGATATCCCAGTCGCATAATCAGTTCCTGTGACAAGCAGCATTTTGTTTTTTCATTTTCGGAAACATTTGCCAAAGCAGTGCCTTCTCCAACTAATTTGAAATAAGGTATGTTATACCATATAATGGTAAACAGATAGTTCTATTCAGTTGAAAAAGAAGCATAAATTTTTATACAAGTAGAGATTTGAGATTCAAAGAATAACATAGAAACATTTTCTGAGTTCCGACAATTTTGGTGGTTAGGTCTCATTTGTGATAGTACTGATCTCGATAATCATTTCATTTTATATGAAGTAAATTATTACGAAGAAGATGTGATAATTCGTAAATTATTACGAATTAAATAATAATTTTTAAACATCCTATTTTAGCTTACAGCAAAAGTTAAGGGGAAAATATACATCTATTCACAAATTTATTTTTAAGAATTTTGAATAATTTAGCTAGAATGACTGAACAATCCAATTTAGGAACTAAGAATTGTGTGTATTAATTTGCAGTTAATTAAAATGCAAGAAAGCAAGCTAATGATCTTTAAATGTATTTTATTTTATTACTTTCAATAACAATTTATACTTAAATCTTACAGCAAATAAATGAATTTGTATGTTTATTCCGGTAAATTTAATGTGCAATGAAAAGTTGTATATTTTAAATGAGAATTTATCGATGTTGCGAGTACAATTTGCATAAAAATGCTTCTATCTGTTAAACTTAACAATACAGAATGTTATTTTCTTGAACGGTTTCTTCATTTTTTAGTTACTGCATTATCGAAAAATTCACTATCTTTAAGGTAATACAGAAAAAATGAAATCGCTTGAATGCATGAGATGGAAATTCAACGCTTACCAGAAATCTGTCAAACAATCCTTAGACAACTGTCACGAAATTTTCAGAACTGAACAAAATTAAGTAAACAAAATAGCAGATGTAAATTATGGCATTTGCTATCATATGCAATCCCCAGAACAAGGCGTATAAATTGTGCGTGCTTCTGCAATAGTTTGAAAAATGCGAATGCACTGCATAACACAGAGTACTGTTATTGCTTGAGCAGAGTAATGCAGAGTACGGTATGTTCGATCGCTAACAAGTGATACTGCGAAGTGGAAATTACATTGTATTATAACATCCATTATACGAGTACTTAGGAATCTTACGCTAACGAGCTCTAAAAAGACTCTAGAAGAATTATCTTTAAGTCCTATGATGCAAACAAAAGTCAGAGATACGGTGAATAAAACTCTTTTATTCAAACACAAAGAGCCTCACAGACGGCCCAACTTGGAATTACACAAACCAACACTTCTGGCTTAATTTAAAAAGTAATACTGAACTAAAATTAAATGTAGTTAAATTAGCCTAACGGCTCACAGGATAAAGTAACGCTCATGAAGGCTCTGGTTTGTAGAAAACCGCCGAGACAAACCGACGGCTAGAAGCACTGACCACCACAGAATCAAACTGCTATTTAGTCACGGTAACAACGTGGCGTCAAGTAGGCAGAACACGTTTTAAATTGAACTTGAGAAACCTTCACTTAAATAGCACTTCTTTCACTTAAAGAAACGCTCGCTATCTTATTTACATTCTGGCATGAAAAGAGTGGGTAAAAAGGAGGTTGGCAGAAAATTTCTTTAACACAAAATTAAACTAGTAATCAAAAATAAGTAGATAAATCCTCACAATACGATTAGCCAGTCCTCATATTGTAATACGCGATAATTAACCAAATGTTTGTAACGCTAATACAGAGGTAACAGCTGTATGGCTGTTGTTTGCCTTGTCACAGCAGCAAAACGCTTAGCATTGACTGTCCGAAAATAGAAGACAATGCTGAATAAATTGGGGCAAATAGCGATTGTTCTTCAGACAGAAGATACAGTGTAACACGAAGTGACACGAACTCCCAACATAATGCATCAAATTCTAAAGGCGCATGACAAGGGACAAGTTGATAATAGAATGCCTAAAATCGCACAGATAAATTATGTTTTCAGGGCATTCCACTTTTTATGCCTTGTTATAAGGTTTGCAGATGATTGCAAAATGCCATACACTACGTTGTTTCATTCACATTCTTAATCATCTCTGAAGTCTTGTACTGATTATTGCAGAGAGGTCAGATAGCTTTCCTTATTACACAATAACTGTGGGAGATAGCTCAATGAAATTGTAGCCTAAATTTTCATTCTTTAAATTTTTGAATAATTGTGGTTAAATTGCAGTCTGATTAATATTGCATAAAGTTTATTAAACCAAATTTACTTTGTGTGTCATGAAAATGTGAAGTTATTTCCAATGAAATCTATTTTAAAAGTACTTTACCTTTCATAATTATTTTACGACTCTTTGCTCCAATAATTATGTCCTTCATATGCAAATGATCTTCAGAATCTCTTTGTAATTCAATAGTATCAGGTTCTTCTGAGCCGGATACTACAGACTAAAAAACACAATAAATGAAATCTTAATCTCAAATGTAAAAACCATATTTTTGAATGTATGAATAAAAGAAAGCTTGTTCTGAATAGTCAGTAATAACACTGTTCATTATCACCTTACTAGGAAACGTAATTATTCTTGAACTTAGTATTGAATCTTTGTAAAGTGTTTTTTATACTGAAAGCTAAGTATTTGGCCGTCATTTGATTTTCACTGCCATTGCAATTTTAAAAAATTAGACTTTTTACATTGCTTAATATTGTCCCTTATGCTAATTTTATTCTGCAAAAATACTGCCGTCGTACATTTCTCGTTATTGGAAACTGCTTAGGATTTTACCGATTGCTATCAAATTTGTTTTGAATCTAATGGGTTCACTAGGACTTTGAGTTACAAAGTTTATTATCGATACAGTAGATTCCCTCTTAACCGGCTTCCGTTTAATCGGATCTCCGCTTTAACTGGCCGTAATTAAAGTACGAAAACATAAAAATAAGCAAAAAAATTACAAAAAATTGAAAATTCCGAAACTATTGTTGCGTGCGTACGGGTTCGTTATGAAATGAATGCACAAGTCCGAGGAAAAATGAACAAAAATTGATTATTATCACAACAAAAATGCTTAAATTTCTCAAATTATCATGCAGTATTACAATATCTCACAGTAGTTATCTTTTAACTACTCAAATGTCCAATAGAACGTAATTCAAAACAGCTAAAGAACGCTAATCCGCGAATTCGCTACAGTCAACAAGAGCAGTTTTCTAAACAACAAACTAAGCAACTACTACAAACTGAGATGTTTTCCTTTTTTATAAGATTTTAAAATCACGCGCTAGAATTTTCCAATACTTTCTCGAAATCAAAAAGAGATATTTATTTATTTAATGCACGCGCTCTTGTATTTTCAATTTTCTGGCTTAGCTTTCTTTTAATATTCGTCACGCGCTGCACTGCACGAGAAATAAAACCATTTAATTTATAATTGAACTAACATTAGCTTTTTAAATACCAAATTCGTAACACTATGTATTTTAAATGCAAAACATCTCAAGTCAAAAAACTTACTAGTGAAAGCACTTCTTTTATTGGACAAAGCTTTTCTCATCCTAGTGAAGACGAATTAAAAGTGAGTGATGATAAGGCAGTTTCCTTGTGAAAAAAACTAGCGTAATTTTTCTATTACAGCCCACGAACCAGGGTGTGACAGAAAATTTAAAGAGACGATATCCTAGAGAGCTTTTGATATTTCTCCTAGAGGAAGCTAACTCTGATTTAAGTGTCATCCATTTATTGAAAGCGATTAATATAAAGAATTATATTTATATGATAGCTGAGTCAGGGTCAGAGGTTGTCGAATCTACAATGATAAAATATTAGCGAAATCTTTGGTCACCGTATCAAACAACCGCAGAAAGACAGGCAGTCACCGCATTTGAAGAGACAGACTTTTCTACTAACAATTTTATGTCGTCATTCAGATGTCTTAGTGGAGGCCAAGATGTTTTGTTGAAGATGTGAAGCGGTGACTGACCGCTGACAGGGATCTTCAGCAAGAAACTTTGTCAGTTGACGGCATCATCGAAGCTGTCAATGACGATGACTCCGACATCGATGAAATGCGACTTCCGTTATATGACATACAGATGAATCAAAAACATCGGAAATGGCTGTATGCGCTATAGTGGAAAAACAAGCATCTGCTTCCTCCACTGATGTGATGCTTTTAATAAAATGGCGAAATTATGCAGAGAGTCGCCGAATCTTCATTCTTTAAAAATTTCGTTTACCGGCTTAACCCGGTCCCATTTAGGCCGGTTAAGAGGAAGTCTACTGTATCACTCAATGATTTTCAAGATGAAAATGTTGTGTGATATATAACAGGTTTGGTAGACAATTTTTCGAGTAATTCATTTTTTACTATGTGTATTTTTGCTGAAACTTATCGATCGCGCATACAGTAAAATCTCGGATCACGAATGCCACGAATAAGCAATGTGAACAAAACACGCCTCGTATGACGAAAGGTTTCTCGAGTTACGACCACTCATGTCCACACTATATGATTTTTAAACGTGTTTTGAGGTAACCGATGACCCAAAATTTATACTGATTGTTTTCTGAAAATTTTCATTGCTTAACTCTTATAAACAAAGCTTAACAGAAAGTAGCTTACAGAACGAAGACTTGGTTTTCTGGTGTACTTTGAGCACTCTTACATTTAGAACTTTTCTTTATATCTATGACAATGCGTCTCTGGATACAACCAATGACTAAGAAGTTAACAAAGATGACGTGGAGAAGTTACTAGGAGAACAAATAAAAATGAGCTGAACAAGGCAGAATTGCAACAACGTCAGAAGCTGAAATAAAAGGCAATACGGAAGAAATGTCTTCAGAAGAAAAGGAAGAAAGAAAATGATCCTAGTTTTCTGATCCGTGAAATTTGTGCAAAAAGGAGTAAAATGCAAAGTTTTTGCTTAACGATACCACCATGATAAAGCAGTAGAAAGTTACAACACAAGTATTTTTTAGTGACAATACGATGCCTCACTTCAAAAACAATTTAAAAATCAAGCAACAATGAATCATATTGCACTAATTTTGAGTGAAATAATGACCCAGTGAATAGCACTTAGAGGCGAAGAAAAGATGAAAGAGGTACTCCGTAACGAGAGTTATTTGCTGCTGTTATATAAAGAAATTTCACATCGAAACAATGACATTTATCTCATAATTTCCCCCTTATGCAGTCTTCTTCGTACACTGTTCTTAGTACAAATACAGCATTTATCTGTTTAACATGGTATTTACCTTTTTTTACTATTATTATTTTTAATGTTTTCCTGCAGTTTGGGGTAATGAATTTGGTTACAAATTATTGTTTTAAAGTTTAATAAGCAATCATCTATGGCCCAAGAACGAATTAACGTATTTTACAGTTATTCCCATGGGGAAAACTGTTTCCGTTAATCAGCATTTCGGTTGACAAACAGCCTTCAGAAACGAATTAATTAAGTTCACGAACCGATATTTCTCTGTACATGAATCAGAAATTTAAAGTATTCTGCAACAAAAAACAAAGATAATTAAGCAATCTTGAATACCAGTTTTTAGCTAGTAATAATGTTCTCTTTTAATATAAAATTAAGCAATTTATTATAAATTATCTTAATATACTTTTTTAGTGTTAGGCTATGAATCAAGCCCAGCTCCAAACATAAGTAATGCAGGCAGCTGCCTAGGATGCCGATTTACAGAGAACCCCAATTTAGTTATTCTCATCAGCGACAGGCGTAAAATGTTAAAATACTATGCCATGCCGTTAAACATACCTACATATCCTATGTTCGAATGTATAGGCGAAGACGTTCGAATGTATAGGCGGGTGTGATTCTGTTCATTACGCTGAAACTGTTAATTTCTTTAAAGATAAAACTATTTCTTAGAATTTGTCATTGAAATTTTACTGGATTAAATTTCATTTTTGACTGCATTTGTCATTTCCTTTGTAAAGGAAAATACTTTCTAACGTATTGTTTACTTCCAAATCAGGAAACTACATTTATATTTTTAATTTCATTTTCTTCATTCTGCAATAATTATTGTATTGTAACTTTAATTCAAAACTAATAGAAAACAAAACAATTATTCAAACTTTCTTTATTGAAGCAATAATGTGCAGATTTTATCCTGGTCATTCTTTCAACTTTTTTGAAAATTTGGTAGGAGCTCGTTAGCTAGAAAATGCAAAACTTTTTAACAGGCTTTAACACAAGTGACAAACGGAAATAAAATAACTTGCTCTTAGTTTGATAGTAATGTTGAAGAAATGACGAGAGAGTAATGTATCTCTTAAAATTTCATTTCTGAAGAGGCAAAAAACACACACAAAAAAAATAGGCCTTTTTCCATTCGCACGTACTTTCTACAAGATACATATTCTAAAATATTGGTTGGTTTACTCTATTATTTTTTTTTTAATTTAGTAGTAATTACAGTGAAGAGGATTTCTTCTCAGATGAAATTGAAAACAAACTTCTCTGAGGGATATCTAAGTCGAGGGAATTTGAATTTCTTTCATTTCTGTCGATAAAAATATGATGTTACTCAAAATTTACTGAACTTTAGCTTTATCGGTGTTTTTGCCTTAGACTAGATAGACATTTGAAAGTGAAATGATCATTGGCTTAATACGTTAGTTAACTACTTTAAAACCCTTATTATAACATACCTAACTCACAAAATTGATTCCATAGCATTTTTCTGAATTATTAACTTCATATATCGCATATAATTTGCGACATTTCTTTTAATTTCGACATCATGATTCTTTTGTTAAGTGTAATTGACGTTTGAAGATATTCGATTTCTAAATGGTCGTTAAGTTTTACTTCGCATAAAATGGATTCTATTTTACAGCAAGGGAATTTAAAAATGGAAAATTTAACTAATTATATTACCGCAAAATAAGTATTTCTGCCTAACTGAAAATTAAATCTTTAACCTTCGAATAGGTTGTGATAAATATTTTGTGGTAACCATTAACCTGAATATTAAAAATTTGAAAATGGGTAAACACCACTAAGTTACAAATTTGTATTTTAATAACAATGAAATATTAGAAATCTTTTCAACATGAAATTGATAATTAACTCAAATAGTTTCTTAGGTATTTAAATTCTGATTTTTTGAAAGAATTACAGCTCAAAAATAATTTAGCTTTCTTACCAATTTACGGGTTTTTCTCGCAAATTTTTTTTTTTTTGATTTACCACGTGAATTACGGGTCAAGGTTTAACTAAAGCATCACAATTTGGAATGAAAGGTGTAATATTTAAACAGTATTCAAAATTAAACAAATATTTACTAATTTTGCGAAGCTGAATGCGAATGTGGATGTATTAAAATTTCAAAAATAGAGAAATGAATTTATAAATTCAATTTTTGAGTATTCATTGAATTTTACTTTATCAATAATTGACGCTAGAACGACGAAGTCCAGATTAAAATTAGGCAATAAATCACACTTAGATTGACGCAGATTTCGAATAAAACTTTTTGCTCCTGAAGAAGAGGGAGCCTACTTTTTCCGATGGCCTCAAAATTGATGTAATTTTATTCAAAATCTGTGCCGATAAAAAGCTGCAATTTTAGCTAATTTTAAATTCTGCATTGGTATTCTGCTTTTCCAATAATGTAAATACCTCAAATATTCTTATTTCATCTTATTTATTATTTACCTTTAGAAGACTACTTTTTGCAGAATGTCGAAATACTTTTGAGATCCAGAAGTACCTCGTTAAAATAATTTAACAACGGCTTAATGCCAAAACGGGCTGAAACAGTGCAGACTTAAGCAATGGCTTATTCCTTTCGCCATGGAAAATTGTTATTAACTTAAGAACGCAGACTAATATTATTACATTATCACACCGTCAATTCCATTGTCATCTACTGAACAATAAAGTCGATGAAGAAATATATATGGTGTCTGAAAATAATATTTGCACATTTTAAAAATTAATATGCTGAATGCTAATAACAAGAAATATTAACTTTTCTAGTAATACATATCTATAAGCTTAAGTTTAAAATGACTACAACTAAAGCACTACGTCGTTATTTTATTTCGCACTACTAAGTGTTACATGTGACTGTGATGTACTCTTTGTACTTTGCATACATTATCCGTTTGCAACAACACTTTGAAACCTGTTCACATTGCTTGCTCTCTGTCAGTTGTAAAACAACTAAAACCAAAAAAATGCCAATTTGTCCTTGCCCATACTAATGTAAACATTACAGCTTAAAATATAAAATATCCGACTGGTTCCTCTTTTAAAAGTCATCCAAGCATTCAAAAAGCATTCAAAGGTTTTGTTATTACGATTCAAAAAGCATAAACTTTAATTTGGGACACTGTATATTAACGTCAAGTGTACAGAAAGTAATTTAAAATACATTGTTCAGTGTAACGCAAACCCTTGTTATCCTTTGGTATGAAATGTTACGATTTTTATTTCATCATTTGAAACAAAAGACGACACAAAGTCTTAACAAAAGTCTTAAAAATACCTCTCCTAAGCCATAATTGGCAGTTATAGTCATAATTGTTGGATTTCCTGTCAGAGGATCACAGGTGAAAAGCACTCCAGCAACATCGCAAGCCACCATTTCTTGAATGACAACAGCCATAGGAGAATTCAAGCATTGACCATAACGCCTACAGTTAAAAATTGAAGTTTAAGAAAAATAAAACTTTATCATTCTTACATAAACAGGGTTATTTTTTACAGGAATATATTTAAAGGTACAAGAATTTCATATAGGTATATTAAGTCTAGATTCTGAATAAAGTAAAAAACTGAGCCTAATGCTCGATTTGATTTGACGAGATTTTAAACCCTTAGATTTTTATGTAACAACATACAATGCAATCAGTTATAACCAGAGAACTTACTCAAGAAGATTTAAAAATTATATTATTATTAGAGTAAAGGAAAATGAATTGACCTATATCATGTTCTAATATTGCAAAATTGTGCAAATTTTTGTTAAATGCGTCGTTTTTTCCTCGATAGAACAATATTCTATAACTTTTTATTGCTTGCACTTTTTTATATAACAACCCCTGCCTATGTTTTACTTTTAGAAATTATTTCTAAATGTATACCAATCAAAGTTTAAATTTGCGTTCGCTGTTGGATGAAATCATAAAATTATGGTATTTATAATTTTAATATTTGATTTCGAAACTTTAAATATTTTCCATTAATTTCTTTATTTCAGTCTTAAATATTAATATTATTTAAATTAAATGTACTAAAAATTAATATTAATTAAATTAATTAAAAATAAACATTAATTAAATTATCAATTTAATAAACCAAAAATAAGAACTGCAACTAATAATGTAAAATAATGTAATTTTATGAAATAAATAAAGAAATCTGAAGTATCCATGGAAATCGAAAGATCAGCCCTCAGAGTGTTAATATACTGGTTTCCGACAATTAAGGGGTCCACCAGTGGCCGAGAGGTGAAAGTCGCTGAACACTGGTAACTCGGTTCGAATCCCTCGAACGGGCTGGCTGCATGGGCGTTTTCCTTATTTTCCCTTAAAAAGTCCTCCATGAAGGCATTCATCTCTTTAGGCATATAGCTCTAGTGATTTGCCATAATTAAATAAACCAAACCAAACTAACAATTAAGGAAAAGTCCAAAAATAGCGGCAATTCATTCAAAAATAAGCCAATTTTTATAAAATTTGAATATGTGTTCAAATAAGAGTTGCCTAGTAAAACTGCAGTATGCAAATTAGTTTCCCTGCCTTGAGAATACGGCATCCCCGAGGCATGTTTGTATAGTAGTATGTTTGTATAGTAGCATGTTTGTATAGTAGTATGTTTGTATAGTAGTATATTTGTATAGTAGTATGTTTGTATAGTAGCATGTTTGAAAATAGACCTGCAAATTTTGATACTGAGACAAAAAATCTGGAATAGCCAATTCTGTAACAATGACCTCACGGCATTATTTCCCAGAAGATCTGCCATCGAGAGCTGCTAGGAGACTAGAGGCAGAACAAAGTCAGACAGCTAAATGTGAGTCCTTTTGTTTATAGATTTTGGCAACACTTTTTAACCATAGATTCAGCATCCGGGCGGTTCGGACAAGAAGGCCAACTGCTACGACGAGCGTCGATGACAGATATTTGTTGTCCTGCATACAAATGAATAGAACCGCAACTCCGTCTCAACTCTGATCCTTCTTTTATTTAGCCACCACCGGAAAGTTGGTGTCAACTTCAACCATGCGTGAAAAGCTTCACGAATGGAGGTCTGTAAGCGAGACAAGCAACCATCTGTGTGCCCTCACGTCACGTCATAGAAGTGAAAGTTTTAATTGGGCACATCAGCATGTACTCTGAACAGCTGATCAATGGAGAGCTGTTTTCTTTGGGGACAAATCCAGGTTTAGCTTTCAAAGCGACAATAAACGTTATTTGATTTGGAGATAACCTGGAGCCCGTTATCATACATTAAACATCCGTGAAAGAAATGTATACGGAGGAGACAGCGTCTACGTTTGAGGTGGTATCTTTTGGGTAGAGGCACAGACATTCATGTCTTTCCACGTGAAACGGTGAAAGCTCAGCTCAATGGAATTGATGGTGAAACCTATGGAGGGGCGCCTTTGTAACTGGGCAATAGGTCATGATTTACTGCTATAGGACGACAACGCTAGACAGCACAGGGTTGGCATCATGGATGATTATCTTCAGCAACAAAAAGTTCAGCACATGAGTAGCCAGTCCGATCACCAAACTTGAATCCTGTCGAGAATAATTGGGATGCTTTAGGAACACGTATAGCTGCTCTCAGTCTTCCTCTTCAGACCCTTGCCATGCTTGCAACTGCTTTGCAAAAGCAATGGTTTTCACTTCCTACGGAACTGATAGACCGCACAATTGACAATATCACTCATTGCTGTAGTGTTGTATTGTTTTTAGAGCAGATCATACTCCATACTGAAGGAAATTTTCCTATACCAAACTGACGGATCTAATTTGTTCATTTTATATATATGCTAATTTCTATACCACCATGATTGCCTGGTAATTTCTCTTCATGTTACTTTAAATGAGCCACAGTATGCTAAAATGAGCCACAGTATGCGTTGTATACTGTGGCTCATTTTAAACTTTTAGAGTAATTATCATTTTTTAAAATTTTTCCTTAATTATTGATAACCGCAGTACTTTACAGTAAAATGTTTATGGTTTCATTTGCCAAAGTAAAAGAACATCGCTGAAAATTTAACTTAATATTCACAACATGAATTGCCTATTCGAACTTCTTTCCTATCAAATGTACGCAGAATTATTTTCCCTACTGAGTTTGATAAAGATTTCCATTCAAAAGTATTTCCTTTCATTTTTGAAATTAAGATCGTTATAAGCAAAACTGATACTACTCATAAAAATATGTTCAATTTAATAAATCGTTACATTCAACATCAATACATACCTTTTGTACTGGATTGCAACGTATCCGAATTGTGAAGCCCAACACTTTTTAATAGCATGCAGGATCTAAGAAGAAAAAATTTGAAAATTTTAGTCGCCTTTTACGACATGCAGGAGATTAAAAGTACTAGGCATTTATATTACATAAGGTTATCCTTGTCTTCAGTTCTAATTACCATTAAACAAATGCATTTTTTCCAGTCAAATATTCTTACCTTCTGTGTTTTTCACAGCAAGAACTATACTTTTTTGTTTTCGTTAACAGTTTGTTAGTTTAGAATGTTTACTTTTAGTTGACAACTCTTTCCAAATTTCGTTCTTTGGAGCTAAGCGTTTTTAAAGTTCTCACTTAAATTCTGTGTTCTTTCACTGTGAGGATCTTAATTTAGAGAATGTAACTTCCATTGCTTAACTATTAAATATTGATTTAGTGCACGGTTACATTTGTTCTTGTAAAGTTATTTTATCCAAAATCCTGAAGAGACGTGAAGCGAAATTTCGCTATGTCTGAAACAGCGAGAAAGTTAAAAATAAACTTTTTATTTAAACAGAATGTAAAACTCAAAGGCACTCTTTTGGGCTACAATATATCCGCAACTTGAGGTGATGCAACTCTACAGAACGGTGAAATTGAATTCAGACTTAGAGCAGTAGTCAAAGACAACACCCTTAACCCTTTCGCCACGGGAAGCGCAAATGCGCGCTTATCACTGACGCCCGCAGTCTCTTTCGCGAGTGTCTGTCTAGGGACGGAGGGATTTTTGCTGTTAAGCCTAAATCCATGAAGAAGCAAGAAACACACTCATTTCCAGGCCCTCACGCTGGAGCGCTAGAGCGTTTTCTCGTGATATAAACATTCGCGTTTCAATATCCCTTTGAATCCTTTTTGAATTTTTTTTTTTTTTTCTTTTATGTAGAGTCTTTTAAGGGTTACTATGTGAGGTTCTATTACGTTTTGCATTGCTTTTAATTCGAAAATCCTTTAGTTTACTTATATACCTCATACAACTTCAGCTTATTATGGCGGGCAAGCGTTTTTTATCAGACCAATGATAAATGAGCCGATTAGTGATATGAATGAGAGTCGTGATTTATTTCCTAAAGAATCAGAAAGAGGTATTTCTAGTGATTCTCATATGGATATTTTGTCAGAAATTGAGCTAATTGAGGGTCTATCTTCCAGTTCACGTGAAAGATTTTACTTTTTGTAAACAGACTTTCTTGTATTTTTTTTATTCATTTAAAAGTTTATTAAGGTATTTTATCAATTAAAACTTTGGAATAATTTGAACAGCGCTTCCGCAAATTATTTCTCAATGTGAGCATTTTTCATATATATTTTCATGTAAATTTAAAAAAATATTTAAACGCTAAATTTAACATATATAATAGCTTAAATAGCCGTCATAAAGCATGCTATTCGGAAACATTCCTTTCCCTTTATGTTTATATAATCAAAAGCTATGTGTGTGCGAGTCATGCAACTCTCCTTTTGAGTAGAAGGTCAAATCTATATGTATTTGAAACTGTACGGACATACGATCTTGTGCCAAACGTTATAATGTTTAAAACGTTCCAGGACACTGCCACAAATGTGTAACGGCCTGGGGTGAACGAAAAAATGCTCTGGCGCTCCAGCGTGTGGGCCGGGAAATGAGTGCAGTATGCGTGACAGTCGGCGTGAAAGGTTAATTACTATGTTATTTGGTGTGAGAAACTTAAGCAACAATGTAAATTTTAATCAGATAGCCATGAAATTGCAGAAAGGGAGTTCTTGCGATCAGTACAATGAACACGCAATTCAGTATAAAGATCATGCACATACAAGTGTCAAGAACAAAACATCACAGGCGACGTGAACACATGCAAAACTCGTGCGGTCGGCGCGCTGAACTCAAGACTACAAGAAAAAGAAGGACGGAGACGCAATTAAAGACATTCTCTGCAAGTACAAGTGAGTTCTTTCATGAAATATGGTTAGAAGAAATCGCATGGATGACGCTACGTGTGGAAGAATGATCGGTAAGCTGGAGGAGGGACGCAGTGTGACCAGGATAGGAAGAGTTCGGAATCAACAAAAGTGTCATTTCGCGCGCTTGGAAAGCTTTCCAAACCATAGGTACAGCTATGATTAGAAAGGCTTGTGGTGGCCGCCCCAGAAAAACAACTGCAGTGAATGTTTGATATATGGTCCAGCAGGCGAGAAGAACCCGAAGCAAGACAGCAAGCGCCATAGCTCAGCAACTGTGTGTGTGTAACGGGGTTACTGTGTCCAAAAGCCTTCACAAAGGTGGACTATTCGCCTGCCGTCCTGAGTGCTGCTGAAAGTTGGCCATCGGCGCCACCTTTTAGAGTGGTGCAAGGAGCACGAAAACTGGACATCTTATCAATGGAGTCGTGTCTTCTTTATGGATAAGCGCCGTTTTAGTGCCACAAGCGATTCTCAACGCTAGCTGATTTCGAGAGCGGTTGGGACACGATTTCATCGAAGTAACATCACAGAAAGAGACCGTTATGGTGGTCCTAGTGTTCTCGTTTAGGGAGGCATTATGCTGGACAGGCGGACAGAGCTCCATGTTTTCGATAGAGGTTCTGTAAATGAAGATCGCTGTTATCAGGAGGTGATCCTTCCCCATGTATATCTGCTTCAAGGTGCCATTGGAGCAGACTTCGTTTTTATGTAAGACAATGCACAGCCACACCGGACTCCTGCTGTTCAGAAGATACTGGAAAGTGAAGATATCACTCGAATGGATTGGCCAGCGTACTTCCCTGATTTAAATTTTCTTTCTTCTTCTGGTCTTTCTAAGTTTGCGATTATTTTCTTTGTTTTTCTTTTTAATTTCTCTTAATTATACTGCATTTCTGTTCTCCAGCATCTCTGGCAGTCCTGTCATAAATTCTAGATTATGACAATTTCCTTCGTTCTCGGTCGAAATGTATTATAGCGAATCAATGTTGTAGGAGATTTTTCTCAGTTCTCGAATCTTATTACAAGGAAACCGTTGTTAGATGTGCCGAGTTTGTAATTAGCTACTAGCAATGAGGTCTGTTGGGTAAAAAATATAATGGGCTTTTAATAATAATTTAACAATAATAGTTTCTTTATTCATATTTTATCATCATGTAAACCTGTTTCTAACATATTCCGACTCAGCCTTAAATTGGTATTCACATCTTCACTTAAGGAGACAGCTACAGCTGTTCGAATAACGGATTTATAACACCTTCAGAGAGTAACTTATTTCTTTCTGAATTTGTCTTCGCTCTTGATTTTCCTCTCGCCAATTATTCATAATAAATTAGCTCTATGCGTGCTTTTAGTTCTTGTATATATTTACGATGATAATGTTTTTCGTTTACAAATAAGTCATGTACATGCATTCTGCATGTTAATAGGTTTCGAAAAGTGAAAGAAATGGCCAACAAATAGGTTTCTAGAACCCATCGTATTTTCCGTTACTCATACTATGGCAGTTCCTCTTGCTTAGTGATGATTCCTTTCGCATTTTAGCGGCAAATTTATTAGTTTTCTTTTGGGAGGGACTATTTTTTTAGAAGGGGTTACATTTAAATTACGTTTGAGATCAGCTGCTTATGAACAAAGTGGGCGTGATTATGAATAACTATCTGTGAACTTGCAAATGAAAATTCCAAGTTAAAATTTATTTCTCTGCTTAATTATAAGGTTTTCTATACGATTCTTTTTTCATAGCTTATAAATTACCGTGATTTACTAGTGTGAGCCACTTTTTTCCTTTTTAAAATTAAAGCAAAATTTCCCTAAAGAATTTTTTCAAAATAATCTCGGAACTAAACAAAACGAAGATTTAAATCAAAGTTTCGTATTATAAAAAAACTGCATGAAATTCCAGACGGTTAATTAAAGCACATAACCTACAGAATTTTAAATTAAAAAATAATAAAACCTACGGTAGTTTAGGACGCAGTTTTAGGTCTAAACTCTTCATGTTAAAAATTACCTATCTGAAATTTTTATGAAAATAATTTGGGCTATGCATAGATAACCGAACAGCTGTGTTACGTATCTATGGCTTTATATTGTTATATTACAGAAGAAAGTGCAGCATTTATTTAAGAAGACAAAGCTTTAAATTATTAACTTAGTTCATTACTTCGTTTAGCCCAGAGACGCCTAAGAAAGTGTCCATTTGACCAGCAGCAGACATTTGTTCGGTGTCTTCACCTTCATTCAGTAATAAGAAATTGAATAAGTAAACGTAAGAATATTATCTTAATTATAAATATCATATTATGCAAAAATTTAAAAAAATCGTATTATGTAAAAAAGTTTTTAAAAAATTGTTACCCGTGGCTGATGATCGAACAGCGAATTTTAATAAATCTACTTCGTTTCCAAACGTTTCCTTTAGACACGCTTCTACAGCTTCGCTTAATTCATTTGGAAATTCAGTTCTCTCAATATCTTCACATAAACTAACATTAAGCAAAGGAAAATATTCATAATAAATAAAAAAATATGTAATCAAATAAATGTGATTTCAAACCTTTGTTATTGAAAATGCAATTCATTACCTTTTGCAGGCTTCTTTAACGTCTCCGATATTACCGCTGTTAGAAATTTTAAAAAACTTTTATTGCCAAAAATACAATTGATAAAGTACAAAGAATTATTTAATACTTATTATTTTATATTGCAGCTATATTCATGAAACAAGAAAAGAAAAGTGAATAATTAAAACAATGTCTGAATAATAAAAATAATTTTAATATTATTTTTAAACCTTTTGAATTTTTAATAACCTGCATAGTTAATTCGACTGAAAGAGAAATTTAAATTTATTATAAAAAAAGCAAATTTATTTAATTGTTTTGTTTTACTTCTTTCAGTGTTTCTAAAAAGATTTCCAATATTATGTAAAATTAGTTCCACTAAAAGTAAAAGCTGAACTTGGTAATTTCTTATTATTTTAATTGAAAGTAAATTGCAAAATTAATTCCTCCGGAAGAAAAATTTCAAAGTTACTTTAATTTCAGGGTTTTTATAGTGACTTTTAATACATTTCAAAACAAAACGCATCCTGAATATCCATAAGAGGCACGCTGTTGAACACTGTATATTTCGAAAATTATATTAAGAAACGAAAATTAGAACTTCATGTATTTGAAAATTGCATATTGTATTTGCGTATCAATAGGATGTTAAACACTGCAATATATGAAAAATAATTAAATTAATATAATAAAAATTTTAAATTCCTCAAATTTAAGGTCCGAAATGAAACTTTTTCAGGAAAGGTGTGCAGACAGTTTGCATCCTAATTTAATTTTCCTTCATTTATGCAGGTGGCACTATAATATATTTCTGAGTGTAATCTACAAATAAAGTAGATTAATTACTTATAAAATTTTATATTTATCATTGATAAAATTTGAACACTGATACAGTTAATGCTGATATTAACAAAATCAATTAATCACTGTTATAAATTTCACTGATTATGTTATGAATACCGTTGGTATTCATACATGATATAAATTTACGTACAAGTTTATGATTATGCGTAGTTTGAGTATGCCTCGTGTTTTGTCCATTACATACACATTCTCTTGTCGTTTTATTATCGATAAGTAATTTTCTTTTTTTAGAGAAGTCTCAAAATAATTTAACTATCGGTTAAATTTAACTTTCAAAAATCCGTCTGTTTCATTTTACAGCATGTTTCAAATTTAAAAAAAAAAATATCTTAGGATTAATACATTATCACAACTTCCAACTCAAACTGCACGTGGGCTAAATGCACTATTTAAACGTAGCGGACTGGCCATAATTAAAAAAAGGATGTTCACAAAAAAAATTTATTAACTAAATTTTAAAATATTTTACTACATTTTTTTTCAAAACATGCTTGTAAAATGTAAAAAAAAAATTATACAGATTTTCTGCCTTATATTCTGTAAGAAATATCTCCTTGTTACAATTTATAATTCGAACTCACTGACAGCAAAACATTAAGATCTTCAAACTGAGATTTATTCGAATAATTGTAATGTAAATAAGTTACTACTAAATAACTGTTTTTAACTAAAACGAAATATAGGAAAACTTCCCAACAGAGACAGAACTTGAGAATAAACAATGACATCTATTTCCTTTTCTCTTATTTATTAGATTTTTCTATAACGAGTACAGAAAATATAATATTTGCATGTAATTATAAACTTCTTTGTTTCTTATTACACTCATCAGCTACAACCCCTCAAGGCGTTTCGATTTTCATAAATTTTGTAATTTTGAAGGAAAATAACTAGATATTACCTTCATCACAAATTGTAAATATTCTTCGGCATTCTTTTTCGTACTACGCATAGATTTATTAATTTTCAACTATGGAAACAAAAAAACTTCAAATCTAAATATACTTCGGAACAAAGATTATTTTTATTGTAAAAATAAGGAATTGAGAATGTTTATCTTTCGACTAGTACTAATAAAGGTAATTTGGATCTTATAATCTTGTATAAGATTTATATCACATTACTGCTGCTTATCATACGGAACTTTGAAAGAAGCCAAGAAATATTTTTAAAAGGCAACTTTAAACTAAACGTATTCTACACTGTAAAACTTTGAAGCAGAATACGCGCCTTTGCATAATAATAATACCTAAAACGTAACGATCGCATCAGTGCTAAACAACTAACACTTATTTCCTCCATCTGAATTCGAGTACTGCGTGGATTTAGGGAAATTTCGAATACGTTTTCGCGAGAGCAAGAAAAGGGAAAAGGTTCCTTTGTCCTTGTAAAATATACTATGTCGTTAATGATGCTGATATTCCCACAGTTATGCAGAAGCAAAATTACAGAAGACGTGATAGCGCGTAAATAATTTTGTTTCAGATTTCTGATGCTAAATAAAATCGTTGATTTAGCACAAAGCTGTGTATTTAAAATAATTAATAAGCATTTTATAATTCAATTGATTTAAAAAATAATAATTCCTTTTTTAATATTTCAAATTTATATAGGCATATCCCCTGAATTAAGGTTTATTTAAAAGCGACGAATGAAGAAAATATCCACTTTCGCGTAAGTTGTCAAGTGATTTCTCCCATTCTCCCCAGTATAAAAAAAGAAATTTCCAGTATTCAGCGTCATCTCAAACTGATCAGATAATAAGACTGCAGGAGAAATTGACATAATTTCTACCTATTCGCACCCTCTCCATTGCGATTATTATATGCCCATATTGTTGGAGCTTGTAGATCAGAGGCTTCCATTTGCTTTTCTTTTATATGGGAAAAGAAATACATGATAGAAATATTATGCACAGGGGACTTAGTCAAATTTATATATTATCTTTTACGATTCTATATTCCAATGCTCCATACACAAAATTAACACACTCTAAATGTAAGAAAATAGTGTTCAATACGATCTTAAATCAAAACTGTTTATTGAAATAGTCGTTAATTGAACAAATTATTTGACAAAAGAAAGTTAAGCCTGAAGCAATGAAAATGTGAAATCCACTTTTTGTGTGTTTGTGTGTAGTTCTGAATATTTTGTTATGAATGAAATTTCATCTAAATTTACGGATTAATTTAATTTTATTTTATTGTTATTTCTAAAAGAACAAACGCGTACATAGTGAATGAAGTAAGTATAATTTTCTCCTCATAAATATCATTTTATTATTTAATTTGAATATAGCTAAAACACTTCAAATATCATTTACAACGCAACTTATACCTCCGTTGAATGATATATAAAGTAACGTTAGGTTAACACACTACATTTATAGATATATGGAAATAATTTTAAACTCAGTCAGGGAAATTCATGCATACTTACTATACAACATTTTCTAACACTTTTATTTTCTGAAGTATTTCTTTGGTAACAAAATTCTTGTATGCTGCTGTGGTGACAACTATTCCCTTTGGCACTATAAGCTAGAAAATAAGATTATCCTTTCATGAAAGTAGGAAAATTCATAATATCATAAATATAAAAGTGAAGGAATGTGATTTTCTCTTACGAGATAGTATATATTTTTAAAAAGTGACAACTCACAGTTTGCAAATCTTTGCTCAAAAAAGTCAATTTTCCCAATGATGATCCTTTTCCTCCCGTTATTTCCGGTTCTTGGCATACTTCATCCATAAAGGAAACCACCAAAGATGATACTAAATGAATTAAGATAATAATCAGAAGAAATTTCGTAACAATTTGTCGGAAAAATTAAATGGGAACACTTTTATATTGAGATAGCTCTTTGTTTTACCCGATAGGTTGAGTAGAAGCTGAATTCATACTATAGGGTTACAAACTGGTTACAGAAAAGGATTTGAAAATGCGATATACTCTCTTTAAAACGAACATCCATGCTTCCAACTGAATACTGTAGTAATTGTTATTAGAACTTTTAATTAAAACGAACATCCATGCTTCCAGATGAATACTGTAGTCATTGTTAGTGAAACTGTTACTAAAACTTATGAACCACTTGACTCATGTCTCGATACTCGCTCAGACCAATAATTAAGGCAATTATTAAGGTATGTGGATTGGTTTAAAAATATGATTCTAACCTTAATCGTGACTTATTGGAGCATTTTGTTGATGGTCGTCGTCTCAATAAAACCTATTTGAGTTATCAGTACTTATAGGGTACCCTTTATTTTTTATTACAGCTTGAAATCGACGTTTCATTGAGCTGAGAAGAGTTTTAAGCTCTTCTTTCGTTATTACATGATGCCAGGAAACAATTATAGCCTCAATTAGTTCCCTTTTATTTGATGGGCGCCTCATTCGGACAAGAGTTTTCAAACGGTGCCACAAATTTTCGATAGGATTGAGGTCAGGACTGTTTCCTGGCCATGACAACAATTTAATGCTCTTTGTACGAAACCACTCTTTCGATATTTTGGCCGTGTGGCAAGGAGCAGAATCCTGCTGAAAAATAAACGAAGCATTGTTGGAAAAGAGATCTCTGATGGAAGGTAGAAGTTTTGGTTCTAGAATAGTGTCAATGTATTTTCTGGCATTCAGTGTCCCATCGATGACATGAAGGCGACCAATACCATCTGCTGACATGCATGACCAAATCATAACACTAACTGGGTTCTTCACAGTTGCTTGAATGCAGTCAGGATGTAGCTCTTCTCCTATTCTACGTCTTACATATTTTCGCCCATCACTACCGAATAACGATATCTTAGTTTCATCACTCCATATAACTTGTGACCACTGATCATCTGTCCAATTAATGTGTTCCTTTGCCCACTGTAGTCTTTTTTTTTTTTTTTTTTTTCGTTGCTGAAAATTAAGATAAGGCTTTTTTCGTGGAATTCTACCTCTCAGTCCAACATCTGTTAATCTTCTCCTGATTGTTCTTGAACTGACAGAAACACCAGCATCATTCAGATCACTTCTGATGGCCGCTGATGACATTTTTCTATCTTGGAGACATAGTCTTTTTATTCTTCTGTCATCAATAGATGTGGTGCACCTTTTTCGGCCTTTTCCTCTTCTTGTTTTTTATTGAATTTGTCTCCTGATATCGTAAACAAAACTTTCGGACTCCAGATGTAGTCACTGAACCACCCACCTGTCTTGCAATTTCAGCATAGGAAAGACCACTTTCTCGTAACACAATAATATTACATCTCTTTCTAGGTGTCCAATCTACTCTTTTATTTGATGTCATTGCTTCTTGACTAATATTTAAAAATTTTTACAAAAATTCCTACTTTGTAATTGCAGTGTATAAGAAACAGGTCCTCCTTCTACAGAACAAAGCAAAATAATGAATTGTTTCAAGTGTAAACATGATGTCAGCTTCTACTGGCAGTTACTAACATTTGATTGGTTCTCAGAACAAGAACAGTGATTGGCCAGGAAAGCTAGACATTACAAACCACTTCATAACTGTGTTTTTTATTTATATTAAAGTACATATAACTTTTTTGTATTGCAAATAATTGAATTTTGTGTTTTGTATTGAATTCAGTAATAAATTCTCTTTAAAATGATATATACAAGTTTGCATTTTGCGAAACGTAACATTTTCTATAAGCATACAAAGTTCAAAAACATAAAAATTTCCAAAAGTGTCCACAATTTTGGCCACCACTGTATATTTTAAAGTTTTAGCGTAAAACTGAGCATAGCGTAGACCGAGCAGGTGTTTACTTTGCTTAAGGACGCCATTTTGCAAATATATTGAATTTTAGCTACAGAACTTTGGTGAGGCAAATCTTCGTTTCGGATTTCGTTGTAATTTAATTTGCAAATCATAAGATAGCTTAATGAATTTTATTTGGATTTTAATTTAACTTGTTCTTGTATTCATAGTTAGTAGTCAATAGCGATCACTCGCCGACAGGTTATGGAATGACGCTAGATATTAATCTTTACACTCGATGTTCATATTAAACTAATTTCACAGTACACACCTTATTTCAGAGTGGGTTTGAAAATACAGTGAACCTTCTCTAAGATGACCAGCCTGGGTTACATTTAAGGCTGGTTATCGTAAAGAGGTAGTTAGCAGAACGAGGCTCAATGTAGTACGTTTTTGTCTCTCACGAATATTCCTAATAATTAATTGTTTCATTTAACTTAAAATTTTGATACAATAGAAGACATTTACTAATTAAAATTATTGTGTAAATATCATTTGCTCAGAATTTGCTCAGAAATAGACATGAAATGCTTAACAAAAATATTCAAAAACTGCGAATGGCTTAACACAACATTTCTTCGCTTCTAAAAGCGCACATTCTGCCATATAAATGTTACTGAAAACAGGTGCGTCTCAGAATCGATAGCTAGAGTCTTGGAAACACAGATTTTTATGAATTACCAGTTACTCCAAAGTAATTAATTTTTCTAAAACACTAATTTAAATAGCTTTATTGTTGCTATTAACAAAATCAGCTCATTTATTGGAGAAGTGTTTGTTAGATATAAAAAGTATTCATTTATTTTATCTAACCAGTTAGTTTATGTTAAGCAGCTTTACTGTGTCATTCTCCCTTTCCGTTTTGCTACCAGAATGTTAATTTTAGTTCATACGTGTTCAAACGCGTCGAAGGAGATAGTATTTTAAAGCAGGTGTTAAATTGTTTAATCAGAGTATATTCAGCCTGTTGAAAACCACGTTGCCAGTTGAAATTCTATCATAGCAGTTTGTTTGCGGCGTTTTTTGTTATTTTTATTTTTATTTTTATTTTTATTGATTTTTATTTTTATTTATTTATTTATTATTTTTTATTATTTTATTTTATTTTTTTTATTTTTTTTTTTTTTGTTTATTATTTTTTTTTAATTTGTCAAAACTGCTTGTCACGCTAGTATAAGTTTGGGCCAACTTGCACATTAATCACTTCTGTATAGCTTTTGGACTAACTTAAGATTTAACTTAATTTTAATCTGAATCTATTACTTTTGAATTACGCCATTAATTATAGCTGGTTTAGTAAGCACAAGAACTGCCGGTACTATTCCGTTTTGAGGGCCGTAAGAAAATTGTAGCGAAAATGTATGCGCAAAAGCGCCAAATCTAGCAAACGCGCCCATTTAACAGCGCGCCAAATCTAGCGTACGCGTTGATTTCAGATTGCGTAAGTTTATATAGTTCTATATTTCTTAGGACACCATTGAAATACTAGTTTGATTTTTAAATCCTTTTTTGATATCCTATGGATTTAACAATTTGGGAATTGCCCATGACGAAAAGTCGGCAATAGAATTTTGGAGAAAGTGCAGAATCCCCCACTGCTTGACGCGTTTTTAAGAATTGCACATACTCGGTATCCATGTGCACATCGACCTATTTTCACTTTAAAAAAAATCCTAGAATTGCACAAAAATGGCACTGCGCACACCCTTGACTTTATCTATGTACACATCGACCTATTTTCACTTAAAAAGTAAAAGAAAATTGACAAAAATCCAATTGTTTTTACCCTTGTAAAAAGCGGCAAACAAATAAGTGAGCGATTCTGCACTTTACCGAGAGAATATTTTCAAAGAAAATGCATCATTCATTATAGAAAATTACGTTTGAACAACCAACGAGATGAAATTATACTTTAGCGATAAGTCGTTAGCGAAATAGCGATGCATGCATCCATTCAGTTATGTTTAGCAATTTTTATATAAATTATAATAATGATCTGAAATAGTTATTTACTCTTATGCTTCCATTCAGTCATGTTTAGCCTTTTTCATATAAATTATAATAGTAAAAAAGTATTATATGAAATTAACCTTTCATCTAAATTAAAACATCAATCTTAGTTATTTACTATTATACTTCCTTTCTTGCCGCAATTATTAGGGTTGCCGCAATTCTTTTTGGCAGCATTGGCACCAACGATACTTTGTCGATTTTTTACGGCCCTCGAAACAGAATAGTACCGAACTGCCTTCTCTTAAGTTATTTAAGTTCTTAATGAAAGGGTCTTTTACAACTTTCTTACGTTTCTCTGTTTTCTTCCTGGATAAATCGATATCGATAAGTCACTTGCATAAAAAATAGTTTATTATCAAATATATTATGATAATATTTATTTGCTCTGATACAAAATTATTGCTGCCTATAAAATATATGATTCCCGTATTTCTGCCATGCTTGTGTCTTAGAGGGTATTTATGCACTGATGTGTTTTGTTTGTATCTCTTTTTCATTTTCTCTTATAAACTGGAAACAAAATGCAACGCCCATACCGTTATTTTCAAAAGACTGGATACTTTTATTCTGACCTACCACACTGCAATAAAAAAACTGTGAAACCTTTTCGAAGATCAAAAGTATTACCCTAATAAAAACGCAAAGGTTTGTATATACTTAAAACAAAGCTATATTTCAAATTTCTTTTGAAGAAATTGGTGAATAAGAAAGTTTTACGATTCAAGAATGAGTGCAAAGACTTTAGCGGTCGCTTTCCCAGTCCTTCTTGCTGAAGACGTATATTTAATTAGAACTGATTAAACTTACATATAACTGGAAGTGCTTAAATTTTATCTTGATTCCAAAAACAGTTATTTATGCAAAATGTTTCCCATATTCACTTAAATTTTCTTACCTGGAAGACGAGACTTCTGTAAAATATTCCTTGAAAAATTTTTTCTCGGTAATCCTACGACGATATGCCTGAAAAGAAATCGAATTATTGGTAAGTATACACAATTGTAAAATAACACGGCCTATTCCTATGTAAATTTCTTATTATGCAGAATGTCCATAAATATTTATCTGGATTAGAAAAAATTATAACTCATGACTACGCGCAAATAACGAAACTTGTCTGGAACCTCAAATGCATAAATTCTCAAAATTTATGACCGTTTTGAAAGCATTCAGTAAACTTCCACGTGTGATGGCAGAAGATTTTGAATGTATAAGTTTGAAATTTAAGAACTGTTAGTCTCTAATGTGCTGAGACCACTGGTTAGATTACTATTAGTATCACAAGCGTTTATACCAGAGTTTTCATAAAAGTAATGAAATTTTTATTACCTGAATACTTTAATTTACTATATAAATATCACATATGACTTATTTCTTTGCTTATAATTTGGTATTTATATACCTTTTTATTTTGACTTCAGCTCTTACATTTTGTTGAGCCACTAATAATTTTTTTTAATTTACTAATAGAAAATTACTAATAGTAAGTTACTGTCAACTTATTGAAAAGAAGTCTTCTTAAGGCATATAAAATCACTGAATATTACAAGTTCGAATCTCAGTAAAAGACTTATACTGCTACCTGAATTTCGATACAATTATGGAGCATCTCAGCAGAAGAAACAAGATTCTATTTGATCTTCAATTACGAAAACCTCACCAGATCATTTATCACCTTCCGCCTTATTGTAGATCATAATTTTTTTTCGACTTAAAGCTCAAGTCTATAAATTAAATTTAAGTTTTCCCAGTAGAGCCATGTAAATAGTATACATAATTTCTTTGTTTTCACTTATTCTGCATATTTTGGCATTTTTTACTATTATTTATTTTTTGTGTGAATGTATGCGTGTGTATGATGGTGTGCGTTTCTTTGGGTTGGTGTGTGTTTGTTTCGTATCGGTTTGAATTTTCTAACTTGTAACCGGATTTTCTAAACCAGCAGAGGCTAACATCAATAGTGATAAACCTTCTCAACGACATCAAATGCTGATTCGTTCCTTACGAACCAATTGACTCCTCTCTTTTCTTCCTCTTGATTCTTCTTCCCAAAGAGAATTCTCTCCTCCAGTTAAATTCATCTGATCAGGCTTGTTCAGCTTAACTTCAATTAATCAGATACAGTATACTAAGCGTTAACCATATCCAACAAAAATTTTTGTAAAAAAAAAAAAAATTGATTAAGCGGGGGGGGGGGGGAAGAAAAGAAGAAAGAACTATTTGTAACTGTTTGTCTATGAGATGAAACTAAATTAATTAGTTAATTCAATAGAACTATCATTTTTAACGTTGAATAAAATGAGAGTGTTAGGTAGAATTGAACATTAAATATGCTGTCTGAGAAAAATGATATGTCCGTACAGGACTTCTAAAAGAATGTTTTTAATTATTATTCAAGTAATAGCACGATTTACATCTTGTTCAAAATGATGAGGTGAAATTGAGAGTTGAAATTTCAAATAAAAAAATATGTAGTCAAATAGTCAAGAGAATAAAGTTTAATAGCAAATTTTCAATCATACCTTTTCACGCGAATTCCGCTTCCTTTTTTCCCATTAATATAAAAATCAAATCGCTTGAAAGACGTTCCATTGCCATCTCTTTTGTTGGTATTTAGTAGACTTGGACTACAAAAGGATCCATGAAGTGAGTGATAAATCCCTGCAATAAAATTATGTTTGTTCTCATTTAATAAGTGAGCACAGTGAAAGAAGCTATGTAGAGGACTTTAATTACTAAATTCCTACAAATGAACTTTTTCGCGTCTATAGAGGCCAAAATCTGTTCCTATCAAACATCTGAAATACCGGTATATACGAATTTTGGTTGGAATGGGTTTACTTCCCAAATGATGAGTAGAATGCTGCAGCGTTAACAATAACTTACTTACTTACCTAAAGCGATTACTTCTCTCGAGGGTATTTTTGCGTGGTTTCACCCACTGTGTGCAATTTCACCATAGGATTGCAACTGCGAGATCAGTGTACTAGGAGGAAGGGGCACCCAGACGTGCCTTTGCTCGAGGCAGCCTTACACGGTTGATCGCCTCAACCACTAAGGCGATCCAAGGCGGCATAACCTCTCGGTCGACATGGGAACAATTTTTGTTTCACAAAGTCTTGGTAACTGTATACAAAGTCAGTGATGGACGGCTACGCATCCGCCTAAAAGTTGAAGAACGCTAAGTTGACATCGACCATCCCCCAGTGTTGACCAAGGGGATCCAATCCCCCAAGGACAACCTTCGATATCAAACCATGTATTGTCCACACAACCAAGGGGCAGACAAGACAAGTACCATACGATCCCTGCCGAGCCTGAACCTACCACCGAATAAATGATGGTCACTTTGATGACTGTTAATTTTTCTCCAGAAGTTGAATCTTTCTAGATATTGATCTAACCAGAACACCGAGATTGTTCCCAGTCGAACCTCCCCCCCTCGGGGAGAGGCAGAACTGCAAGCATAAAAAAAAAAAAAAAAAGCATTGGCAAATCTGAAATTTACTAGAATATGGCAAAACATGTTAAAGCTATTTGTCTAAGAAAGGGATGCATCTTTTTTCAATTTTCTAAGAGAAATTGGTTAATATGTACGTTACACATGAGGAAACACATATTCGCCAAGATTTGAAACGAGATCCAACTACAGGTGCTCAACGGCCTTATCCGCTCCTCCGCTGATGGTAGCTCTCCTCCGCAGAAAGATCAAAACCCTTTGAATCTTGGGTGATCCTTTTAGACATGGTTACATATATAGAAATCTGAATAAGGTCTGTATCTCAAGTTCTGTAACTTTAGACGCTTCTATACAACATCATCATTGCACTAAAATACCTTAAAACCTCTCAGAAATAAAAATTAAATGAATGTTCTTACCATTTTTGAAAGTTGTTTCTAGAGACTTCTCATATTTTGAGCCTTTGGTGTTTATCTCAATTTTCTTCATGATTTTGAGAGCACAGTCTGGTTGTACAATAAAGCCAAAGCATAAACTGCAATGAAAAACTTCCGTCAAATCTTAATCTAACCATTATCATAGAACAAGCAAAAGTTAATTTAAAAAGTAATTTTAATACTCTTGTTGCCTGCAACAAGGCCGCCGAAAAGGAATATGTGAATCACATGTGGCTCTGGGCTTCGCCACGTTTGCTTAAATAAATGCTGATCATTAAATATGTCTGTTCCACGTTGCATCATCAAATAATTGATTCACACTGCATTTAAGAGAACATAATATATTTATATGTATCATGACTATAAATACTCACTCCTTCACAATATTGGTTAATGATGCTTTCGCCAGATAAACATAAGCTCCATTCTATAAAAAATATCGATACATTTTTTTTCTAAATTATCATGATTTTACAGCTATAGCATTTAATTTCAGATAAAAATAATACATAACAATTTACAAGAAAAAATTCTGAAATAGTGAAAGTAATAATACTCAGTAATAAGTAATAAATTATAATACTTGATGAATACAGCCTAGTATGTGTTCTACTTCACCTTTTTCTATACAAGAAACACCACCTAAGAAGTAAAATAGAAACATCATGAACTCACATTTTACTAATTAGATTAATGCGTATCTGAATATCTTTCAACTAATATAATGCTGCATATTTAATAATATATATGCAAGATAAAAATACGTGCAACCAAACTGTAACTTAAATTAGCAATAGCTCCTTAATTCTTCCTTTCAATTTGGGTATTTCCCCCTTTCTTTTTTAAAAAACAGTATATTATTATTCGAATGACGTTATCGAATTGCCGAAGTCCCGCCCGCTTGTACACGAAAATATATCGTTTATTGTAATCAACAATTCGGTTAATATGATCAAAATATTAGAGAATGAATTTCTAAATTAATGTAAAGTAGCCAAAATGTCAAAACAAATTGTGAAAATTTAAATGATATAGGAATGTCACAGAATAAGTAATCAAACAGTTTCGGCCAATTTCAGTCAACCATTTAAATTAAGCTGAAAAGCAATCTTGTTTGACGTATATTTTCAATAACTATATTGATTTTGAAGGCGATTAAACACAAAAGTTTGATTATCTTCAGGAGAAAAAAAAAATTTTCGTATAATTTTCATTTTCCTGAAAATGTGTACTCAAGTTTAAGGTTGCGTTTTTGCCTAATTTTAAATTTCATATTGACCCGTTTTTCTCCAATGAAGAGCTTTCTCCGAGTATTAAAATTTAAGGGTATGTCGTCGGTTAAATTATTTCCAGAAACGTTATGAACAATTTAAAATGAACTTTTGCATTTTCCAAATTAAAATGCTGTGAAATACGCATTTATATGTTTCTAGTTATATTTATTTTAAACTAGTTGAATTCCATTGCTATTTTGAAGGAAATTTGTTTCATCGTTTTATGTTATCGTTAGGTTAATGTTATCAAAATAACTGTGAACAAACGTGATCACATCAATTTGCGCTTACTGTGGAAAAGTGGCCAGTAAGCCAAATATTACAGGTCATGTGCTACGTTTCTCTTACTTAGAAAAGTATTAATCCAAAGTTTTGAACTCAATAAATGTGTGCTGATATGTGTGCATTTGTTACCCCCTTGTAATTTTAAACAAGGTTTTTCATTTTTAAATTATTTTCTACATTCCGTATAACTGCATTTAGTCTCAATTTTAAATGAATTCTAAATAATAAACTCCTTGATATATGTCATATTAGTGGAAAAAGTAATATTTAGCAGCTGGCTCGTATCTTCTACACATGGGGAAAAACACAGAAACAACCATGTAGCCAACCCGTTCGCTTGGGTTCGAACCCTGATCAAATTATCAATGTTTTGTAGTCTTAACTGGTCAGGGTTTTCAATTCTTAAAGAAATGCAAAAGGACAGTAAGCAAATACCCAAAGATAAAAAAATTTCTCGCTCGTGATTTTTTTCCTGATTATCCTCAGAATCTTCTAATAAGAGTATAAATAGGGTAGAAAGTCGTTGAAATAATTTCTTATAAACTAAAAAAAATTCTTTCAACGAGTTTCATCCTATTTTTATTTTATTTTTCTAATAAAGTTTCAGATCTGGAATACCTAAATTCCTGATTCGCTGGCCAAACAAGTATATCTCCTGCTCATCTTGTTCCTCAGTTACAGTCACAGTTCCATGTATAATTCCAGATTGTACATAAAAATTTAAAGCATCTTTGAGTCTGCAAAATACAAAAAATTAATTACTTATTTAGTAACTGTAAGAATCAGCTAAATTAAAGTTACTTTTTTTGGCTAGATCTTTACTTGAACTGTGAAGAGACTATTCGCTAAGTTCAGCTGTATCCATGGCTTAATTTATAAAATTAGAAGTGCCGGAATCCTATGGAAGACCGTCAGGAAAGAGGAACAAGAGTAAATAAATAAATAAAATTACCATTAAAACCATTAATAATTTTTAAATTAAATAGTTAATTATTATCAAATTAATTCATAATTATTTGATTAATATTTATTAATTATTATTACTAATTATTGTGTAATTAATAATAATTCATTTTTTTATTTATTAAAAATAATTAAATAAGAAAAACTAAATAAAATGTAAAGAGATAAATTAAAATTTAATAAGCGATTTTTAATATAATTTTATTGCTAAAAATAAAATTTTTGAGATCAAATTTCTACCGAAATTGTTGTTCCGGTTACATAAAAGAAGTGCCGGAGCCTTTTTATTTAGAGATCTGATGCGCTGTGGCTAGAATTGCGATTTATCTCCAAAATGAAGAAGTACCGGAGTCGGGCTCCGGAGAGGTCCGGCGCAATTTAAGCTCTGGTTATGCCAATACCAACATGTGGAAAAGGGTGAAAAGACCCTTTTATTCAACTCAAGAACAGGAATTGCACTCCTGACGTTTACAATTCCTGGTCAATACTTTTGAAGCCATCTCAAAACAGAAATGTAATATTAAAACTAAGTGAAATAATCACTCGAAGCTACACAGAGATAGTTAACTCGTAGTTGGCTTTTGGCTCTACCACCGACTTGGACTAACCGGCAGTTAATATGCGCGGCCGTAAAATAACAAACTTACATAACAGCGAAACAACGTGGCCGAAAAGCAGAACACAATCTGTCTGAAGTAACTCCGACACCATCTTTCTACCCCACTCTGCATAATGCGCAGAACTGAAATCTCCCTTGCCAAGAAAGCATGGGTTCAAAACAAGAGTAATAAGAAAGGTTGCTTCAAAATAAAATTAATTGTTTTAAAGATTAAATAAAACCCCACATAACTTCCGCGCCAGGAAAGCATATATAAATGGTATTTATGGCAAGAAATTTTTAGCTTTTTTGCAGATATTCAACTGTTTTAATCTTACTCCTCCTCCCTTATCGTTTTACTTCACTAAGTAGTGAATGAAAGATAACGTGCAGAGTAAACAACCAAAGAGTACTTTCGAAATACTTTCCAAAGTATAGTTAGCGTATCCTACCTAGATTTCGATAGAAATGGCATTATATTATACCCCTTTTCCAAACTTTCTTTTGATTATAATTTTAAAACTATATTAGATATTCAAAATATGCTTAAAGATAATTACATCCAATTATAACAGTGATTTCCAAACTGTATTTATAGGAACCCTGGGGTTTCATTGAATTCCATTACATGATCGCAAGTTACAATCAAAATTCGTAAGAGCTTTTAAATACAATGCGTATCGCAAAAGTAAAGATATAAAGTAATTAATTAAATAATACTTTATAAATTTCTTTTATTGATATTTAGTCTTTACTTGAAATAATAGGGTGTTTTCCAGTTTTAGAGACTCGGTGAAAGTCTGAAAGAGGAGAAAAGTAAAATTCATAATGAAATTAATTCACAGTGTGCAGCAATATTTAAAGTTCTTTAAAAATAAAACACGGTAAATTCTTTGTAAAATAATCACGTTGCGTTCCTGAAGATTTTGGTCGTTTGTGAAAGATGCCTTCTTAAAGACATGTTATTTGATAGCGATGTTTCATATGTTCTTAGAAATGTCGGTCGCATTCAGAGAGGTCGTCTTAAGGAAGTGATCGTCATGAATACATTCAATTAATTTTTAAAAGATCGGCTTTAGACCGTGGTTGCCCTTGGGCAGAATTCTTGGTGATAAAAGGCTGAATGCTCCATTAGTACTGACCATTCCTAACTAATGCATTATACTGCAAATGCTCGTCCACTTGAAGCAACATCATTATTGGTTTAATCATCCGGCCCGTTACTGGCATGGCCGAAAACACTTTGCGGTTGCCTTGAAGTTCTAGCGACCAGATCAAACGGCTGTTTCTCTGCTCATTACAGGCCATTTAAAAATATATTTTTTTTAACATGGTTGCAATATCTTCTTAATTTGCACTAAGTGTAAAGCGTGTCCAAAATCTCCCGAACGTATTCTTAATTGTTTGGGTTTTGCTCTTAAGGATATCTACCATGCATCTGGTTTTTGTGCTTGGCTTCGCCAGGGTGTATTTGCTCATGGACCAGATCTAACTAGGGCAACAATCCTCCGAAATTCCCTTAGATCTTGAAGGATTGGCAACATCAATACGACAGAACAGCGAGTGTTTCAAAGGCTTTTATAGTATTTAGCTTTATGAGGAGACCGAAGCTGGGCTTTCTGTCGCTCGATGCAAATTCTGAGACTCCTAGTGCCTAGCATCTACATAAATTTCAAAAATTTTCTTGCTCAGTGCGCCGACTCTGAGGCTTATACTCGAGGTTTCTGAGGATATAGAGCTTTGACAAAAAGGAATTATATTTTTTATGGAAACTCTGCGTCATGAACATTTAAAGACCACTGAAATATAGCATAGTGATATTTCTTGCAACTGGTGATTAAAAAAACAAGAAAAAGAAAACAAAATGGCATAAGAACAATAAGCACATTGTCTTCGAATGACGCGTGGTAGATCTTAATGCTAATAAACTATTTTAATGAACAATTAATAAATCGAATGAGATACATTCTATAACATTAACAGCATTTCTGGAAACATTTATGGTAATAATAATTAACAATTTTTAGAATTTGAAATATTTTTGAATGATAAAATATATTTTTCAAATGTCTCACTCATAAATTTGGATGCGTTTCATAAAATCTAATGAGTCCAAATAGTTCGTTAAATTAAGAATTGATTAAAATAAACTGCGAAGTTAATAACTTCAGCAGTTAAGTTAGAAGTCTGAATATCAATACTATGTTTGTGAAAATATTAAATTTGTGCATTTCGTCAGTACACAAAAATAACACGTTGAACGACACAGAGTCTATTATGTCTATTCGAAACTAAAAAACATGAAAATGAAGTATGATCTTGCTGGAATTCGAACCACAGATCTTTCAACACTAGCTAGATTTGATACCACTTACACTACGAGAGCCCGCATCAGGAACTACGAAAATTCCTTACAAAAATGCGAAGATATACTTCTCTCTCGGTGTACAAATGTATTTTAACCGCAGGTATAGTTGTCTTGTCTTGTTGATAAGATTTCGTTTACTTGTAATAAAATCTTCGCGGTGTTTTCGTCATTATAGGAAGCACTGAAGTCAGCACACACCGAAATCTGCTACAGTGCTATATTACAGTGTGTGCTGAAGACATTTCAGGTGTTTTCGTCAGTAGAGAGGCAAAGCTATGCAGATACCTAGTGGTAATCATAACACACTTGCTAAGCTCCTTGTTAAGATTAACACGCTACTTTTAAACTATGTCGTTTCAATTCTATATGTATAAATATGTATAAAACTTTGAGTCTGAAAGAATATCGTGAAAAGTCAAGAAGAATAAGCAGAATATTTAATTTAAAAATATCAGTGAATAATTGAATGTGTGTTCAATTGTATTTCAAATCATGAGGAAAAAGCCATAGATTGTTTCTTATTACTTATCCAGTGGAGGAAACGTTGATTTCCAGTCAACTTTTGCGAAAGCTCTGGCAAGTGACTTTGAGTTTATATCCCACGTAGCATCAAAGATCTCAGAAGCAGCCCTCCATCTGTAAATGAAGTAAACTGACGCTGTATTATTGCATAACGAAATAAGTTAATGAAATACATCCTAATATAGTATAATGGCTATAATTTATTTAAACAGTGAAGCAGATCAACAAAAAGAAACAAATGTTTCCCCCAATCGGATCAGATTACACTGTTTCGTACTATTTTTAACTTTTTTGTTGCTCCCTGATATTTTTGTGTCTACTGTAGTGTGCTGAATTCAAATATGAGCTCGGTTTCTTTACCTATCACACATAAGTGTTTAGAGAAGGGAAAAAGAATATAAAATATGAGAAACCCAAGATACAAGTATAAGAAATCTAGTGAATTTTCAAAATTTTTTTTTAAATCATATGCTTTGCAAAATATACTTCATTTTGTATTGAAAACAGTATAATGCAATCAAATAAATTATTTTGTTGTGTTTTTGGTCTCGTATTCACCACGATCAGTTGAGGTTCAACTGCAGTCCGCTAATATGTCGATTATGTTCGCTAATATGCCCACTATACCGCTTCTCCATTTTAGCAATTTTCTGGTGAAATCTTCCTCCTTGTTTGCCTGAAACTGCACCTAAATTGTCAGGAAAGAATTCCAAATGGGAGTGATGAAAATGCAGCTTATATAAGACTGTATAAGTTCTTCAACTAGATTTTTGCAATTCTCCGATTTCTTGTTATCTAAGAAGTTGCTACATACATTTTTGTAGGCAGTCATGCCCTATTTTCTTTTCTCCAAAGTCTAGTTTCAAAATTTTAGTCTTTAAAAAGTTTTCGTATTTGCAGCCCAAAGAACAGTCGTTCTTTAAGCTTTGCCTCGCTTATACACGCGAATTTCCGCTTCAAATAGAGAGAAGCATTCCCTTCTCCATTTAAAGTTTACACAAAAAAATTTATAAGTGCTATTTTTATGTTCTGAGGAGATAAATAAATTTTTTGCTAATCTACTATGGATTCACTGAGGATGTTTTTCAGACAGGACAACTGTTCGGTTTGTTCATACAGGATCGCGACGACATCATTTACACACCGCGGAAATAATAGCACTACTGTACTGTTCGCTAGGTATCTGCACTTAGAATATTGATTCTTTGACAATCGGTCGGCTTTTTATATACCCGTTTCGTATATCTAGCGTTTTATAAAAACATCGGGTACCAGAATACCAGAAGTGGCAATACAATTCCTGTATTACCAGACTGTGCACAATTTTCTAAAATTTAGAGAAAACGTACACGTCGCAACCCGCGCTCGCCGGATAGAGTATAAAAACTTATATATCTCGTAAGTACTGCATCCTTATCTTGCTCTTCAATCAATCAAAACTTGTTGTTGATATTCTCTAGATTTTGCTACGTGATACGACTATTTACAAGTCAATGTAAGGGTTACGTAAGTAGAAATTATCGAAATAACATATTAGTTTGGTGGAGAGGATTTTCATGCAAAACAGTGAACTCAGGCAAAACAAAAGAGGGCTTTGCTTAAACTAAGTAATCTTTTCATAATAATTAATCAATTTTTATTAATAATTCAATTAATAATGTAATAATTAATATAAATATTATATAAATAAAATACAATATAATATTAAATAATTTAATTAATATACTTCTAATAATAATGATAACAATAACTAATATTTATATTAAATAGTTTGTTTGAACTAAATAATCGACCTCCTAACACTTAATCCCTAAGAAGTTTTTCTCGGTAGAATTTTAAGCGTCCCCTTGCCGCAAAGACACCATAATCACATAGAATTATGCCGTATCTTCACAGCGATAGTCATTTTTGGTTCATATTTTGACAAGAATATCAGATTGCAGTTGTTTATGTGATTTTGTGTTATGCTATCGAGAACATAGTTTTTTTTGAAACCCTCATTTTTATCAAAATCTCAGAGAACAAAATTTAGTTTGTCACTTACACCTTATATTTTATGGTAAAATAAGTCGTTATTTGTGTAAAGGGGCTTTGTCCCTGAAGGACTATTGTTTTCTTTTTGCGATTTTGCTTTGGAGACTTTAAAATGCTGTATCACTTTTCAAATCGTTGCCACCAAATACTATCGCCCTGTATTATATTTGAAGAAATTAAATAATGAAGAATCTGCATGTATGTATGTATGTATGTTTCTCGCATTGTGATAAAACAACGGTACCTAGAACCATCCAATTTTGAATGATGTAATTCTACTGCGAATATGGGCATCTGAAAGCCCAAATTTGAAATTTGGAATTTGCTTTATTATCGATTTCATATTTTGTAAATTTTTAACGAATTTTTGATTAGCAAACTCAACGAGTTAAAAGTGAGCAATGGCAACACTCTACGGGGGGGGGAACTTTTTTATCTCCAGCGCGCGGAACTGTGTATCGGAAATTCTAAAGATATGCTCATTTTAAAATTATTTTGCGATATTGCTGTTGAACTGAATTTTATGGTTTAAGTGCAAAGAACATGATATTTAATAAATAAAGCTAACACAAAAAACGTTAAAAAACGCACCTTTGGGCGTAATTTAAAATCTGAAACCTTTCAGATTTCGATCTGTGTTCGTAGATAAATTTACCTTTCTTATTACCATTTTTAAAACTGCTTTCAGAGGGCAAGAGATTTTTATTTAAATTCACCGGCTGGAAAACTGAGGGATTTAAAAATAAAATTAATCTATTTTAATATTGTAGCATTACTCTTTAATAACTTTTAATATTATAGCTAATTTCATAATTTATAAGTCCAATTTAAAATAATTTTAAACATTTTTTAAACATGAATTCATACACATACAGCATTTAATATATATTAAGTCATATATTAAATGCTGGACTACGTAATGAATATTTTGTGTCCTTTTTACTAACCTGAGTGCAAATTTTACGACTACCATCCGTCCATTCTGAGACCCATCATCCCTCATCTCTCTGAAATATGAATAAATAATAGGTAATATAGGAGAATGTATGTATAAAGTCACAGAAATTTTTATTACAAGAATAAATTTCGTAAAAATTGAAAAAAATTCGGACATGAGACAAAATAATTTTTTACATATGATGCATCTAAAAATGCAGTCTTATTTTAAAACAGTTCTTTATTAGTAATATATCTGCGCTCAACGTTCAAAGTTTTCACGATGTCTGAACATTTACATATTTATATTTTGAAATTTTAAATCAATGGTTTTCATTTGAGATACTAGTAATTCAGTTCGAGCTTAGGCAAATGTGTAAATGATTGTATTTGTGTTATGATTACCATCAGAGATCCTAACCGTGCTATCTCTATTTCCATGTAGAAAGACGCTTAGAGATTACTTTTATTTAATATATCTCTGGTACCTTTGCTGAGAGATCGTTGAAAATGATATAGTATCCACAAGGCTGTCAACGGCATTTTATTCAGTAAAGAACTTTTTAGAAAAAGACGCATTATTAGACTTAAAAAAGCGGGCTAGGTATCTCGAAGCATTAGCATCTCCGTCAATTAGGCATTTTTACCTACCTGTTAGAAGTTATTAGGTACTGTGATGGCACGTATATATGAACAGGCTCTGGATGATTCAAACATGCCATTTGTAAAAAGGACTGCGGAAGCACGAACATCTCTCAAAATTTCATTGTCCATCATCCACAGACGGCTTTTGCATTTTTATTATAAAATCCTGTTTTTCACCGGGCCACTTCTAGTCGCTAGAAGACAATTGACACGGTACTCATTACGGAGTCAGCCGTCATCACCCTCGTTAAGGATGATACGAAACCGAAATCTGGAAGCTACGCATTAAAGCCTAGTCGCCTTTAAAGTATAATCCAAGTTCTTTCCAAAAGGTGCCCAACATCATATTTGAGCATGGAAATCTTTGAGCATGGAATATTGCCCAGGCAACCTGATTCATTATTGTGCATCCAGTATTTACAGGATTACCTAGAATGCAGTGAATCGTATTCCTAATTTACTTCGGCAGCCTATGTGTGTGCAAAGTCTGGAGGGCCATTTGAAGCATTTGTGGATAAATGTATCACAGAATATCATTGAAACACAATCTGCATCCATGCCGAATGTAATCTTGTGTTCAGGCACTTTGCAAGTTCCCCTCGCTAGCTTTTTAGCACAGCGTTCTGAAATATTTTAAATATTCGCATACTTTTCCTCTTCCTCAAGGAATTCAGAAAGTGAGTTAGGTTAAATTAAAAATGGTTTCTTCTACGCAATGACTATTTTAATTTTACTAATTGATTCACTCGTGGATTTTCGGTACATGGGCTTTGCATGATGAAGCAAATATAACGAAAATATATGCATATCATTGCTAAAATATATTTAAAGTTCTTGAATATTTGGTTTTGGTATTTTATAGAAACACTTTTCTTGAGTATTTGTTTTAAAGTTGGGAATGGATAAAATTTAAATAAGATGTAACTTTCATATTTAATACATTGCCTTGTTCGAATGATATTCCCATAAGCAATTTCTGATTTTTAAACTCCCAAACTCATTCATTTCTGATAAACTAAGTATAAATTACTTATTTAATTTATACATAATTTTTTACGTTGTACATTTTTATTAATCAAACACAATCTCTCATCACATCTGTCATCATACATCCAACAATATCTATATGATTATTTGTTTAAAAAGTAATTGAAGTATATATTTATTTGAAAACTCAGATAAGCTATAGTACACATTTTGCTACTGGATTACAATTAACATTCTATAAAACAATAAATCACAGTTCCTGATGATTCTTGTGGTCATAAAGTTTGTAGGGTTTTTCTTATTTTGCATAACAAATTTATTTTAAGTTTGATACCTATTCTAGACTTCTCAACTTCCCTCACATTCTCTCGCCAGGATGTAAATTTAAAGTTAAGTGAAGTGCATATTTAAACATGTGAATCTCTGAGTTTTGTCAGAGCGTTTTTCGCTAGCCAAGCGCACGTTTCGTTGTTATTTCGCTGTTACAATAGTAAGCCTTTTGGCCTTAACAGATTTAGCATCACGCCGGTTAGGTTCTTGTGAGTCCAACTCTTAGGCGTAACTTGCACTATTTTGAAAGTTACGCCTATATCGCGTAACTGCTATCTTGCACTAGTATTTATTTTAGTTTTGATTTACATTATATTCAACGTTTAATTTCCACCGCAAGCTGACGGTGTTTTTGTAACGCACGAAGACCACGCCTTTCTGTTAACAATTTTGAATTAATAAAGGGTTCATTTACCCTTCGTCTGAGTCAATAGTTTTATTCACGCCTGTGCGAGAATTCGCCAGGTTATTTATAGGGTCTATTTTAGTTTATGTGGAATAAGAGAGAAAGACACGGTACGGCTATAAGTTAGCCATCTTAAACACGTGATGTCCAATTTAGCTGTTTATTTGTATTCTTTAAAAGGTTAGTAACTTTTAAAAATGGTTGCCTTTGAGAGATGGTGTCCGCAAAAAGATTCGTTGTGCATGTTTTTGGTCCTGAAGAAGAGGAACATGTGTCTGATTGTCCTCAAATTCGATATCAACTCATTCAAAATCTACTCCAAACAAAGACTGATTTCTGCTTAATTTAAAATTTTACATTTTCGTTTTTCTTTCCCAATTTGACATGAATTTTATTGAGAAATACTAGTTATCATGTTTAAAAAGAAAACGAAATTTAATGGGAACTCGTAAGATTTATTGCTTTGCGAAAATAAATACGGTTAAATGCTGCATATTAAAACAGTGTTTTGCTTTTAAAGTCTTAGTCCTTAATCGGTGACTGCTATTAAAGTAATGCAAGTGAATGTATACTGATACTGCTTAAGTACTTACCAAAAGTATATCCACAAATTTTTTAAGGTTGCTGAAGCAAAATGTATTCGTATTGTCTCTTGCAAAGCAAGAGCTAATAAAACTGGAATTATCTTCAGTTAAAAAATGAGCGAAAATTTATGATTTTTGGTCTTTTTTTTTTAAGAAATAAAACGAACATTAAGACTGGTTTATTTAGTTATGTTAAAGCGCTTTAATATTATCTGCCTAAAAGGAAGGATGCCTCCGTGAAAGACTCTCTGACAGAAAATGGAATTCACGTTACACAAGGAGAAACCACAAAAGCGCCCATGCAGCTAACCCATTCGTCTCGAATTGAACTCAGGCCCAACTACCATGGTACAGAGGTTGTATTACCGTGCCTTTGATGGGCCATCAGGGTTAAGGTGTTAATTTTGTTTTAGGGGTAATTCACTTTGAATTCTTCGAACAGAGCATGTATGATACAATGTTTAGAATTACCATTTTCACATCAGTGTGAAAAAGTGTTCCTTCTCATTTGAAGTTTATAGTTTCTGAGCTCAAAATTTTCAAACTTTCTTTTTTAACTTTTGCTTGATTTTAAAATCATAGAGTGTGTCAAATTTTATTCTTAAAATGCTCTGGATCATAAATGCTGTCTAAATTGGTACTGTTGTAAGGATCTTAAGTTTGACTAACGTTTATTTTGCTTTAAAACTTTACTAGCCTCTCTTATTTTCCACTTCCGGCCAGAATAAACGCGTTAAATTGTTTATGCAAATTGTACTTGCTCTAACGCTTGTATTTAAGTAGTGGCTTTTCGCCAAGAACAGAGTTAAACGAATAGAGAGTGAGCTTTCTTGCCGTTGTATTTCACGCGAGCTTCAATCAGTTGTTGTCCGCCTTTAAGGCTAGAGGTTTAGTCCTCTTGATATCTAAGACTTGTTTTAGTTTTCCGCAGTTTGCTTTCTACATACGTAATAATCTGAAAGGCTAACCTTAGTGTTAGCCATCTGTGCAAAGTATTCAAAGTTAGCTCTTATTTTAAATTTAGTTAGTTAGTAGTTTTTATTTTCTTACGTTCAGACCACAAGTGGTTAGTCTTCGTATCACGAAGAAGTATCCTCGATCATTGTGCTAATACACTAGCACATAAACATACATACAAATTTGGTAATTAATACAATGTTAAAGCTAATTCATGTTAGACACTAGATAATACATTTCCGTGTTACAAGGTGTATGCAAAAGCATGGATACGGTAGCATAATATACATAACGTGTGTATTCATATATTGGGTACACTATGATCCTTAAAGCATTATCATTAGATACACAAGACATGTACATACTGAAACATTAGGTGCACAGTTCTATGCTAGAATAAGTAATTAGTACAGTGAATTTATAGTTAGACCCTAGATTAGTACTGTGTGGTACAGTTTCTTGCTACTGGAGATTATTTGTGCTGTTTCCTAGGTACATTAACCTATGTACAAAGATATTAATACACGTGTATTAGGTACACAATAATCAGTGGGTACCCAAGCGTTAGATACGTGCTACTTTAACATGCACTAACAATAGGTACTTAATAGAATGCTGAACAGGTAATTGGTGCAATTAATTTTAGAGTGGGACCCTAGTTTGATTTTTGCGATACGGTGCCGTGTTACAGGATAAAATGTGCAGATGCATAGTTACATTATCATATATACAGAACATAAATTCATATGCATATATATAGATATTTTGGGTACACAATAGCTATTGGGTACACACGCATTAGGTACATGATTATTCAGTGCGTAATAGATGTATATTAAGCTATACAATTCCAAGTTATGTGATAATATTAGTAGATGCATGGATACAATTACATATAAACAAAGACATACAGACACAATTACATATAGATTAAAGCGTATATAAGCTTATTTTGGTACATAATATTCATTGGTGACATAAACATTTGGTACTTCCTTCATATACTTACATAAACAATAGATCCATAAAACCATGCTATAACTAGTAATGGGTGCTTATTAATTTCATAATAGGACACTAGGTTGATATTTTGCCTTACTGTGTCACGTTACGTAGAAAATATATGCGGGTACCGCTTCTTATTTACAATACTTATATCATTCGATTCATAAACAATAGGTACGTGGTGCATTTATATACATGTGTAGATGGTACATTGTAGAGTGCCGTTGAGGGTAATTGATAAAATTAATTTTATAGTATTTTAAAAATAAGACCATAGATTGACACTATGCGACACGGTGCCGTGTTATGTGATGTTTTATTCTGTTGCATAGGTGCAGTAACATTTATACGCAATTATAAGGTCCACAATTGTCATTGGGTACATATACATTAAGTGCATAATACGTATACGTATTTATACATTAGTTTCTTAATACAGTGCTAGGGCAAATTAACAGTCACAACAGTTTGTTGCACAGTTGTCACAACGTTGCGTTGTTTACGATTTTTCAAACGAATAACAAGGAAAAAGAATAAAAATTCGGAACTGACGCACTGTGTTAAATCATGGCTTCTGTGTGGTTAGCGTGCCGAAGCAATATTCGTGTCTAGTGAACCGCCAATCAGGAATCGAAGCAGATTTTTGTCTAACCATGCTCTAATACAATAACAACAAAAAGTTTTTTTTCTCTAATTCAAGCACGGAGGAAAGCTTTTGAACATTTGATTATTGGTTATCCCTTACAGCAAGAGCGTTTATATGATGCTGATGCCATGAAACAAAGAAAAGAAGGAGATTCGTGGATTTGAAAAGCTTAGCTATAAAACAAAACTAAATTCCTTCAGATAAAAACAAATACTTTTGGGTTTATAAGTTTTTAAACTGTCTATTTCTTTTGGTTTATCCCTCTTACCTTCAGCTTTATTTCAGCTGTCTAAAAGTTTAAGCTAGATTACTCCAGTCACTGATCGAATATCTCCTTACCTCAAGTAACCATTGTAAAATATTCTCCATCTCCTCATCGGAGATGTGTACGACATCTGCAGATCCCCACAGGAGAACACATTTTTATCTCTGCATGATTGTTGGAAGTGATCCGTCATTTGCAAAGTGTAGGTCTTCCCAGAAGCCAGTTTTAGGTAAATAGAGGCGTCTGCCTTTTGATCCGCGTGCCTGGAGATGCTGACGATAAGGCATTCTGATTTAGAATTCACACCGTAGCAAAAAATTTCGTCTTCTGCCTAAAATGAGAAAACGGCATATATAAAACGTGGTGAACAGCGTACGTCCAGGTGCACTTTAAAGTATGCTTCTAAACATACTGTAGGCAATACAAACAAAATTCTGTATTTAACGTAAACCTAGAATTAGTATGTTAATTACGAATTAATATGAAAGCTATCTATAGCAAATAATAAAACTCTATGTATGTAATATAAAATGATAATGCGCATTGGTGTATAGTAATTATTTGATTGTGAATTATATACGATACAACATTCACAGTACAAGAAAATGAAAAGACAATGGTAAATATATATAACCTTAAGCGAAATATTGTTGCAAACTACGGGTTCGTTGGCATCTCTATAATCACTCTAGATGGAAAAAAAATTTAATTTATTATTATAAAAATTAACTACACACAGCACATTAAGTAACTGGAAATAGCTTAAAGAGAAGGAGAATATTAAGCATTTCTTCTCTGAATATCACAGCTAACTCCCTAACTATTTTTACACTGTATGAGTTTATGAAATCAGTCGTAAAGCTTCATAAATATGTTTTCACAAATCTTCCAAAAAGTTGCCAAGTTGGCGCGAAATCCGAAAATATCGCCAAGGCCATTAAGGAACAAATTTGCCGATATTTCGGTTTCTGCTTGTACAATTCAAAAGCTGTTTCACTCAGAACTGAAAGATTTACAATTTCATATAAGAAATAAGCATTTAAATACAAAAACTGAGGCCAAAAATTTGATTAAACCCAAAATAATTATTAAAATTATCATTTAAAAAGCAAAAATAAATAACTAAGTAAAACAGTATACTGCAATATAATAAAAAAAATTAAATACTTACAAATATTTACAACAATATAAATATTACATCAGCGTGAATAAACATTAGGCAGAAAAAATGTAATAGTATACAAAATCTGCACATCTATGCAATGTGAAATGATAATATGTATTGGTGCATTGAAATATTGTAATAATGAACGTTGCACACTAGCTGTCGTAGTGCAGTACAATGAAACTGCAAGAGTAAGTATTTACTTTAAATTTTACATCATTATAATAATAATGCTTAGAATAAATATAATAGTACGGTCGCGGACACTTAGCCAACAACCACTTAGCCAACGACACACTTAACCGACACCAGTTAGCCAACAGGCCATTTAGCCGACACGGACACTTAGCACACATGGACACTTATAGCCGACAGGACATTTAACCGACAGGATATTTAGCCTACAAAGACAGTTAGACGACGGGATATTTAGCCTACAAGGACACTTAGCCGACAGGGCATTTTACCGACAGGACATTAAGACGACAATGAGTCTCGCTCTTTCCAATGCTTTCAGATCTAATGAAATTTCCTTTCCCTGTCAAGAAGAGTGATTCGCCCTACTCCTCGCCACACTGGAACTACTTTTATTTTTCTGAAATGCTGTTTACACCCTCAGAATGTTATTTACACTTCAGGAATCAAATATTTATTAATCTATGATAGGGTTTCGGCCCAGGAATTCTTGCTCGTGGCCTGCAGGCACCTAAGAGAAGTAGGTTTGGTTTCGTTTGGCTTATGTGTCCATATTCGAAAGTAGCAACTTATCTATTTTCAAAATCTCCTCAGTTCGTTTCCCTTTCCAATTCACAAGTGTATGTACAAATCTTTAAAGAAAATATAGGTAATTTAATAGGATTTAAAATATGCTAACATAAAATTTTCCATAAGTATGTTTATCATTCAGTTTGAAATGCACTGTATTCCCAATTATCTACCTTCTGGTTATTCGGCTATCGTCTTAAAAACATTTTTTCGGAATGGAACATGAATACGATAGAACACTTGCAAGATCTGAGGACCTAGTAAATTTTGATTCGGTGAATTAAGTTGTTAATGCATGCAATAAAATGACTTTGTAGAATTACCTCTAGAAAAGAAAGAAAAGCTATATTTCAAATTAATAGTTTGTTTTGTTTTAACTGTACATATGTGTGAAAACATTTACTTCCAAGCGAGGACAGATCCTGTGTTTTAACCGTCAACGACATGGACATTCTCAAGCAGCTTGTATCAAAATAGACAGACGTTTGAAATGCACTCATAATCACAGAACTTATAACTGTCAACTGAAAAAAAAAAAAAAAAAAAAAAAAAAAGATGATAAAACTGACGTGCAGTATCTGCGTTGGCGAGAACGTATCAAGTACAAAATCTGCCCGAAATATAAAAAATAAAAAAAAAGTAATACAAACTAAGCAAAAAAGAATGTCAGTATTTGATAAGACCGAATACAAATTTTCACAGCTGACAGTGTAGGGATTTCCTTATTTTGCATAACAAATTCATTTTAAGTTTGATACCTATTTTAGACTTCTCTACTTCCCCTCACATTCTCTCGCCAGGATGTAAATTTAAAGTAAGTGAAGTTCTTATTTAAACGGGTGAATATCTGAGTTTTTCAGAGCGTGTTTCGCTAGCCAAGCGCACGTTTCCTTGTTATTTCGCGGTTACGCTAGTAAGGCCTTGGCCTTATTAAATTTAGTATCACGCCGGTTAGATTCCTGTGAGTCCACCTCTGAGGTGCTATCTTGCACTATTTATTTCAGGTTTGACTTACATTATATTCTACGTTTAGTTTCTATCGCAAGTTGACGGTGTTTTTTGTAACGCACGAAGTCCGTGCCCTTCTGTTAACTATTTTGAATTAATAAAGGGTTATTTTACCCTTCGTCTGAGTCAGTAGTTTTATTCACGCCTATGCGAGAATTCACCAGGTCATTATAGGGTCTATTCTAGTGTATGTGGAACAAGGGAGACAGACTCTATAACAGAAGAGAGTCCCTAGCCGAGACAGCTTTTCAATCTAAGATTCTTCAAAATGTACAGCAAAATTACTCAAAAACAAAAAAACAATAAATATCACCTTTCAAAAATTAGCGGAATCAAAGAACTCCTTCATGTGTTAACAAATTCCAAACACAGCCTTGCAATTAAAAATATTTCTTAAAACAATAAAAGCAACAGCAAACTTCTCAGAAAAAAAATTAGTTAGCTGTTTAAAGCTATAAAATCAACTAAAGAATACCAAGTTTAAGTTTTCTGATCATTGGAGCCAGCTCGAACAGCTCACCAAAATCCCCTCCCCCGCCTTTCGATTACCGTATTTGAAGGCTTATAATACGCACCCTTATTTAGAAGGCCACACACAAGGGAAAAAAGTTTCAATAGTCCGCGAGACAGCGCGATACCACAATAACTTAAAATGTGGTTTCTTTTAGCTCTCACGTTTCGTAAAAGCCAAATGTACAATCATTGAATGCAATTACCAAACATATTTTTATTAAGGAAAATGAACAAGCAAGCTATTTTGAACGTGATATGTAAATTTCAATAATGAATAAATGAATGAACGGCAAGCAATCAACCATAACACAAAATAAAGCTTAAACAACAAAAAACACAGATTCAAGGAAAACGTTGCCTATCATGAAATTAGACTTTAATCACTTTCAAAACCATAAAAATCCTTTTCACTATCATCATCATCGAAAACGAGAATATCGTCATCACTACTGTTTCCGTCATCGCTAGTATCACCTTTTTCGAATAATGCGTCGTCTTCTGTTCCGTCAAGAGTATTACTGATTCCGCACTTCTTAAAGGACTTAACAATTACTTCAGCCTTTACGTCCTCCCAACATCTTTTTACTCACTCGCACACTTGTGAAATAGAGGGCCGCTTCATTCTACCTGAGGGTGTGAGGGCGTGATGTGGCTCTCCTATCCACTTGTTCCATCGTTCTCGCACTTTTTCCTTAAATGGCTTATTCACCGATACATCTAAAGGCTGCAATTGGCTAGTCAGTCCACCAGGAATGACAGCTATCTGAGTTTTTAATTCTCTCGCTTTATTCTTTATGGTTTCAGTTCTATGGGTGCTAAACTGATCCAAAACCAAAAAAGAGAGTTTTCTTAAGAGTCCACCAGGTCGCCCCGCCCATACGTTCTGTAACGACAGTTTCATTCCAGCTTCGTCTATCCAGCCTTTCGGATGAACATGAACAATTACACCCGTTGGAAGTTTTTCTTTCGGATGAGTTTTTGAATATGAAAAACGGCGGTAGTTTTGACCGACACGTGTGTCGGCTGAGTCAAAGAATGTCTACGTAAAGAAGGAAAGGCTCCATAGACGTAATGTGACCGTCGAACCTGTTCGAACTTCGACATCAATTTCGAGCTTTGGCGCTTTTTGGTGACAGATATTTCACGCATGCGCAAAATAATTATGGCAGATGCAGAAAAAGTTATGTGTGTACCTTTATTCGGGTTAAAAATAGCATTCACTATTGAAAGTTAACCTGTGTCCTTCACGTATAAGACGCAGGTTACTTTTTTGACACCACATTTAGGAAAAAAAAGTGCGTCTTATATGCCGTCAAATACGGTAAAGACTCAAAGTGACGCAGTACCAGAAGAGGGCTTCTCTCTTCGATACTACCAACTGACAAAATGATCCTGTCGTTGTCGCTGAAATAAAATGGAGAACTAGATGTTACTTCATGTCTGAAAAGAACAATTTATAATATTTATAATACTGAAGATTCTGCCGAAGAAGAAATAACAGGTCAGATCTCATTTAAATTATTTCTGCTGTTAATCGTCTTCAAAATTCACGTGAAAAAAATCATAAAAGATAAGAATGATGAAGGATGTAAAATTTTTTAGCCCGATAATTCTGAAAGAAAGGATAAAAGTCGCTAGAGGAGCCTAAGAAAAGAATGAAAATGAAAAGAAAGAAGCAAAAAAGGGTACCGGAATATGTTACAAACTTCTGTAAATGTTATCACTAAGTAATCAGCGGTTATGAGAAAAAAAATACTGATATCATAGCTTGAATTAGATTTTCATAAAAAATAACAGGATACAATTAAAAAAAACTACCTTTTTCACACACACACAAAAAAAACTGAACTATATTTATTCAAAATATGGCATTTTTATACTTTAATCCATTCTTTTCTTTAAGGGCTTTCAACTATATTTTCTGCATTTGAACGTATAAAATCCCTGCATTCTTTTATTCCTGATTTTGGACATTTTCTGTGAAATTTGAGCTTTATTCCCTGAAATGATTATGAAACAATTCCTAATTTCTTGACTTCCTGTGATTTCTACAGCTTACAGTGAATACTTCTCTTAAAATTTTAAGTAAATTATATGCTAACTACAGGTAATTTCTTTCAAAAAAAAAAAAAAAAAAAAAAAAAAAAAAAAAAAAAAAAAAGCAATTACTATAACAAGATATTTTGATAATTTTATTGAATTTATGTATTTATTCTAAAATTGTATAAAACCGGTTCTCCGCATATAGAAGATAACAAACATTAAGTTAAAAATAACATTAAATTAATATTATTTTAAATTAAAATAATGAATCTCATGCTAAGTCTAACTAGAAAAGAGAATTAACTTTCTGCAACTGCAAAGTGTATCTGATAGAGCATTTGTATTTGGCATGCGGATATGATAAGAGTATTTTGCCTAAAAGAAGATTAAAGGTTGACGCTCTATCATCGATAAGCTGAAATAAACTGCGTTGCTCCCCTATATATTTTATCTCGGTATGCATTTTTATCTATGAAAGACTAGTAATCTAATGCGCTTAATGACTGCGAAATAAAAATCTTTCACTGAATTGATTTACATAATAATCGATTATTTCTCTGCATACTTCTAATATTTTATTAGAAATTCATACGCTTATATTTATTTTATCCATCGTAAAAGCTGGTAGGGGAACAGACTGTCATTGCTTTGAGCCCAGTTCGAATCCCAGTGAAATATGTTAACCTATAAATCCTCTCCAGAGGTTTACAGTAGAGAAAGAGGGGTGGGAGAACGTCCTTCGGGGTATTCGCCCTTAAAATTGTGATCATTCTCTTCAAATTAATACTTTTACCTTAAGGTGCCCATGGTCTGAACCAGAGGTTCTTCTCGTTTCCACATTGAACCCATGGTGGTTTATAAAATTTTAAAGCTGGTCAAGGATAATCAAATGATCCATAGTTGACTATGCCTGGGTATTTCATCGGCATAATGAAGAACCCATTGATTATACAAAATAATGAATATTGTAAAATAGTTAGCCAATTGTTTATTTATATGAAGTTATAACATGTAGTAAGGAAGAAATCATATAAAATAAATATAACGGAAAACATACACAAAATTGCCTTCTTACCTTGTTTCTAAAAACATTTTTGCACTTGACAATCTTAAAGTAAATCATACAAAAAATAATAAAACATAAATATAAAACCACTTTTGCCAAAACTTTAGTCCATAATTCTTGATCTAAGCTTTTAAGTACTTCAAGTACCTTTAAGTACTTAAGTACACTTATTTGTGCTACAATTAGTATGCTGTATATTAAATAAAAAAATGTAAGAGGGTGGATAAAGAAAATCTTACTTTAAAAGCGGTCGATGCCAGAAAAAGTTTAGCAATCCCTGGTCTAAATTAATTACTATATAAAATAACGTTTAATTCTTTTGACCAGGATAAAATTTACAGACTGAATTTGGTGTTAACTTGAAACAAATGATCTAAGTCATAATAATATTCAAATTTTAACAAATTTTTTTCGGAAATCTGAAAGATTATAAAATATTGATTCCTAATGTTCAAATCATCATCATTTTTGAAGTCAATTAAATTGAAGTTTTCAAGAATGACTGCACTTGAAGTGAACGAAAAAAGAACTATATACAGTATCATTAAAGTTACATGATAGTCCATGATTTCATTTTATACTCTAATTAACACGTGCATCCTGAATTTGTATGTATTTTATTGTATTTATTTCAGCCTTACAATGAAATGAAGTGAAAAGCAAGTTTGAATTAATGACCAAAGAATTTTAAATTGTATTAAAAGGAAGCAATCCTATTTACCTTTTCTAAATGGGATTCAATGCATGGAGATTCTAAACGGAATTCTTCTTCAGGCGCAATGAAGCCAACTTTCTCTGCATCATTTAAAGCCTTAGGATCGTAAACAATGAATCTTTTTGATTTCATTCGTTTATTTACTTCAATGTAAATGTATGAAAGTATCCATTTAAACCAAAACTGCAGATCTGAAATAAATATTATGAGAGCTAATAAACTGAGGATATACTACTATAATGTATAACTGTGATGCCGGAACATTTTTCTTACTACATAAGACAAAATATTTAAATATGTAGAGAACGAGAGAGATAGAATGCAGTGTCTATCATTCAAAAATATTTTGAGAAAAATCTAAACTAAAAAAGATTTTTAATATCTGAAAGTTTTCAGATTTTTGTATTACGCCCAAAGGGATGTTTTTTAAGGTTTTGTGTGTTACCTTTCTTTATTAAGTATCATGTTCTTAGCACTTAAACCATAAAATTCAATATCAATATCACAAAATATTTAAAAGAGCATGTCTTTAGAATTTCCTTTACATAGTCTCGCGCGCTGGAGATATTTTTTTTTTCTTTCCGTACAGTATTGCCATTGTTCGCTTTGAAATCGTTGAGTTTCTTACTCGAAAACTCACAAAAGCATTATAAAATATGAAAAAGATAATAAAACAAATTTCAAATTTGGGCTTCCAGATGCCCATATTCGGGTGAAAACGTACGTAATTCAAAAATGTGATGGCTCTAGGTACCGTTGTTTTATCACAATGCGAGAAACATACATACACTTATGCAGATTCTTCATTGTTTAAATATAATACAGGGCTCTAATGTTTGGAGGCAACAGTTTAAAAAGTGATTCGCCGTTTATAGTGAATCAACGCAAAATGTTAAAACGAAATTAATGGCCTTTCTGAGCAATATGCCCCTTTGGGCTAAAAAGTCTGACATCAAATTTCGACTCCTAGCTTTCATTTAAAATTTCTGAAGGGTCAGGTTTAATCTTGACACATAAGATTTATTTACAAATTTGATTAGTCTTTAAATTGAAAATTGTATTAGACATACATTCTGCTCTAATGTGAACAGAGCGTTTAACACACATTTTCTAAAGTGTCTAAAGTATCCATTTTTTTTTATGATTGGATTACTATACTAAATTTTAGATTTTCATTTCGAATTAAAAATATTCTGGTTATTGGCTAAGCTGGAAGTAGAAAACTTAAGACTTACTAAAGAATAAAGACAATTTGAAGGACACTGAAATCTAGACATTGTTATGATAACGTCTGAAACAAAACAACAGAAAAAAAACACCTCTCAATTAATAATTCATTAAAAAATTAAAATTAGCTAACAGCTTACCTATTAATATCACAGAATATATTCCCAAAGCAAATGCAAATGGAATAATAATAACTGGATCCATCGAAATACTTTTAAATAACGTAGCTAACACAATTAATCACGGAAGCGGCTGCAAGCTTTGTGTACACTAAGCGCGATATAAATTTAGGTACACTTACATACGCAACAATAATAAAAGATAAAGCTTCGAATAGTTTAAATTGATAAAGAAAAAGATATGTCTAAATTCCACCATTTATTGAGGCAGATATTGTTAATTTGATATAGGAGGTTTTGCAATTGTGATGCAATATACGACTGCATCGGTTTTATTTTGTATAAGCAATGCGTAACACCCATCTAAATTACTATACGATGCTACTATCTACACGATCTGTACCACCTACTATCTATATGATTTGCATTTAATGTGCTATCTGTACGATTTTTATTTAAACACTCTAGCAACAACTACGAGGCATTCAAAGATTCACGTTACAACAAAATTCTCTGCAGAACAGACCTGCAAACTAAGAAACGATAGTAGTAAATTTATAAGTCAAGCTCAAGATCCTTCTCCATTCTTAAACAATGACTTAACATTCCTAATGGTCTATGACTGAGGGATAAAATATAGCTACAGGTATAAATATGTAAGTATTGGGAAAATATGAAAATTTACCAGAAGTTACGAGGTTTCATCTCTGGATCTAATTATTGAGGATAAGAAAACACCTCAAGATGGCCCGTGTGAATAATCATCACATATATAAAAGAAAACTTCGTAGGATTTGTATTCATATGTATAAAATAATCTACTGTATTAAATATTTGGTGCTGTAAAAACATATAGTAATTTTCTCTAAAGTTCGGAGTTTGCTTTAATTTCCGAAAGAAACATATTAAAAGACCGAACGCAGATTCCATGACACCTGACAACAAAGTTATTCATTATTAACACATAAAGGAAAAATATTTTGCTATCCTTATTAAAATTAAGAATTTACGTTGGGTCACAGCCCTGGATTAAACTCACTGAAACTTGAGAAAGTTTCACTTCATCAAGAAACTCCTTATCCACTCTCAGCCTTAAGGGCTGTTGGAACCCAAAAATCTTCAAAAAATGGTGATTTCGGATTTTTGCATTTTCAAATTCTCTACACTTTTATCTTTCTAAAAATACCAGTCTTTAAACTCTATGAAAATTAAAACTGTGAAAAATCTAGTTTTCATTTGTCATCAAATGCTTTGCTAAATGAGGATTTTTACATAAAAACGCGTTTTTCTCCAAACGTGATATTTTTATACTCGATGTATATTTTCTCAGGAACTACTGCTCACAGGTATCTAAAATTTTTATGGCTTATTTATTAGGTTTTCTAGTATTTACTGAAATGAGCTTTTTGTGATAAACAAGAAAAAAATTAATTTTGTGTGTGTGTGTGAGAAAAGTGCTAAATTTTACTATGCCTAACAAAAATATTCTCTAAATTACTCTAGAATTCAAAATGTTTCAAAAGTTCATTTCAGTATAATCAAATAGGTATACTTTAATTGCACAAAAATTTTCAAGCGTGTATCTACAGCAGATTTTGAGAAAAGGTACATCGAAAATGGCCAATTTAACATTGTCGGTATAGGGATTGCTGATACCCAACGACCTTTTGCGAAAACACAGTGTTTGGGGGAAGAAAACGTGTCTGCAATGATATTACAATCAGATCGAAATGCATCTCAGGCTCAGTTACAAGAGATGCGTACAATTTATCAGCCGAGTTCTATAAGCTCAGAACAGTTCTATCTCAAGTTATAAACATGGATTCCACATTTAGCTAAAAACAGACAAGTGCAACATTTGTTTAATTCTGAGGTTTTATATAGAGCTTTGTATGATATTCTGAGGAGAAATGTTACAGAGACATCAGCGTAACACCATCAGTAATAAGGTGCTGTCTCTGTTCAGTACTCAGCTAAGAACAACACGCAGGATACGAAGCTTTACAGCACAATACATTTTCATGATGTTACAAACATATCTGAAAGTTTAAAGGAATTTCAGAAGCCGTGTTACAGTGAAAATTTGATAAATATAGTGAGTTCATACATAATAAATAATAGAATATAAATAAAAAAAATACTGCAAGTGGAAATTCCAGTCAAATTGTGAAATTCTAAACATTCCTAAATATTTTAAGGACAGTTCGACGAAAAATATATAATTTGGACATATTCACATAATATAAATATAAATTCAAAGAATATATATGAAAACAATTCCTAAAAAATGTCAAGAAATATGTTGGGAATCATTTACAGAATTTACGAAATACTCATATATATTTAAATTTAAATTTCATTCCTTGCAGCAATGGCGCAAAGATATTTAATTAAATATGTATTTAAATTTAATTTTTTAATTAAACTCAATTTATTCTTATGAAACAATATATATATATAGTTTATAGTCTTGTAAAAGGCTAGTAAAATCTAGAAAATAGTTCATAGTCTTTAGTCTGGCGTAGGGCAGTTCTGTAAACTAGTAATAATTTTAGAATAGTTTTTAATTTCTTGGAGAAATCGGGAAGATTTAAAATAGGAACTTCAATGATTTGGAGGCGTTTTCAGATAAAAAGTTTCTCTTGTTTTTTATGGTTCAGCTCTTGTTTTTTATGGGGTACTGGTATCGCAGAATAGAAAATGTTCTATATCCCCGTTCTTCACGTATGCACAACTGTGAAGGAGAAAAATTTCTTAAAACGAAGTAAGAAGCAAGAGGGCTATAATCTGCCATAAACTGATTCAAATAAGTGTCAAGGAAAAGCCGTTTATTTTCTTTTTTTTACAGAAACCTAAAGGTTCATCGAATTTGGAATGTTTCCTCTTAATCTTATTGTCATGCTTTATGGCAAATGTTTGCAGTTTGTTAAACAGTTTGTTAAAGTTTGTTTTAACTAAGCAGTTTGTTTTACTCAAACAGTTTGTTAAAGTTTGTTTTAACAAACTGCTTAGTTCTTTAGTTTTCAATTTGTGGCTTTAATTCAGTAAAATTTGATGGTAAGTTGTGCATTTGAACTGCGAATATACCTTAACCTATTAATAAGCAGTGGTGATTGACTTGGATATTGAATAGCATAGATAGCAGACATGTTATCCAATTTAATAATACAATAATTTCATAGGTTATAAATAATTGCAATTTTTCCCGATTTTCTTACAGTATAAAGTTCACTGTTGTTTGTGAAAAACAAAAAATATTGTTTCCAAATAAACTCTTAAACAAAATAACTAAAGTTTTAAAAATGGATATCTTATTTTCCTCTTAATAAAGAAGCTCAGTGAAATTTTATTCTCTGATTTTTTTTATGGGGGAGGACGTATTTTTAATATATTAAATCAAAGAGGAAGCAACTAAGTGGTATCTTATTTAATAAATGCTGACTGAATTTTTTGCGATTCCTAGCATTTTATCTTATCAGTTCAGAGAATTTATTGATAATCTGATACTGTGTTGATACCAATTGTTGATGATCCTTGTATTTTAATCAAAGATAACATAACAATAGCATGCTTTGTTTGAGGAAGAAATAATTGTTGTCGCTCATTTTACGAAGTCTTCCAATGTTAATACTTTCACGTTACTTACTGTATCCGAAAATTGTGCCAAAGTTCTATCTCCCTCTCGAAATTTTCCAAAGCATAACAGTAAAAAAATGCTGATAAACTACCACAGGAAAGTAATTTTTCCCATGTAGAAGATATTATATAAAGAACATAGCTAGAGATCTTTTCTTAAATTCTTTAATTTTAGATGTTGGAGCATTTGAAAAACGTTATTGTACTTACAATCCTCGTTATTTGCAGTTTAATGGCAATGTTTTGAGCTGGTGAACGACAGAATATTCTGACATAAAATATCTGTTGTTTTATGATTGTTCTTCCAAGAGTTCTTGATAGTAAAGTATTCACGGAAGATAAAATAACCGTGATGCAAATAACATTCATAGCATATCCATGGCTGAAGAATTCGAAATGCAAAAAAGCGGTGATGACTTCTATTTAGGAGAAATTAATTTAAAATAGAAAAGTGGAAATTATTAAGAGTAGGATAACATAATTTTTCATAAGGATAAAGTAATGGCAGATTCGGATGAATAGTTAGAATTCTCGCACAAAAGATAGAACTAATGTATTTCCTTCAGATCTTGTGCATCACAAGTTGTCTGCTATTATTATTATTAGCCATACTGTTATGACCGTGTGAAAGTTCGCCGCTTTTTCAGATAGCAGATAGCACAGACTGGCCTTCACCATCGATAGATAGACCCGTATCAACGATAAGTAAGTGGGAGTTGTTTATCGATTACGGAAGTTTTCAAATAAATAAAATTCAATCATTCTTTTCCTCACGTGCTTTACCATACGTGATTATTATTTTCAATCGTACATATACAATCACTGGATTATAATATATATTTTATTATCATGCATTATTTTTGCTTAGACAACAATACGGACATATATTAATTTTCCTTATTTTTTAAACTCATTACATGCACAATTGCTGTTCCTTATTAACAAGAGAACTAAATTAAGGATATACTTTTGATCATTGTAATCAGCAATATGAGTCAGTTTCTATTTATTAAGACTTTTAAAAAGATTTCACGATGAATTAATTCAAATAATGGAAACGATTGACTGTATCATAGAGATTTATTCGAATTGAGCCCAGTCTCGTATATAACAAGAAAAAAAATTAAATATGAAGGTAGGCTGTTTTCCTTTTCTGCAAGATTTTCTATATACAACTTTACAACAATCCCTCATAAAACGTAAACGAAACATTTAGACTTCGTAATCGATTACAAATGCAAAGTATATCAGCTATTCCCCATCCATGGTGAAAAAACAGTGTGTGCCATCCGAAAAAGCCGCGACTTATGTAAAGATCTGACTTAGGTTGCTGATTTACTGCTATATAAATACAAATAAATAGAGTAAGTAAAAATAGAGTAAGGCAGATCGCCAAAAAATATTGAAAATAAAATATAAGAGCACTAAATTTTAATTTTACATGGTAAAGAAGTTCCGAAAAAAATCAAAAATCATGCAAAAATGATTTGCATAAAAAATGTAATAAAGCATATAAGTTAGGTGACCAGACGTCCCGCTTTTGGCGGGACAATCCCGATTTTTAACAATTTGTCCCGCATCCCGCTGCGTTTTAAAAAAGTCCCGATTTTTGGAAAGAATGCACAACAAGCTAGGGAAAGGCGGGAGAATACGGTTTTCGGCGGCCATGTAGCTACTTCGCCAGGATATGACTCTTATATTATTTTTGTTAATTTTATAATGTTGAGTTTTAATAACAACAAATAATAGTTGACAAATGATTATTGAGAACTGCTTATCAAAGTTCGCATTGTTGATCATTTGTTAGAATTCGACCACCATTGTTTGGACTTAATGGCATTTTTTGGCATTGGCAATGACGAAAACATTTTATAACTGTCTCTCAGACGGTACACATCGTACTGCGTGCTAGTGCTAGTTAAGCAAGTGATGTCAACAAATCAGCTACTCAAATATTTTAGGTACATAATTTATCTATTTATTTCATAAACACATAAATTTTCTTGGATTTAGCAGACAGCACTCTTATTATTTATATTTTATAGTGGCGGCAAAGCGTTTAGCGTCAGCCTTGAAAGTGACTTACGTTACGGAAATTCAGAGGAAAAATAATACAAGTTAGTATTGTTATTATTTAGAAAGAAATATAGGATTAAAATTAAAATAATTTTTAAAGTATAGTCACTTTATATCAAAGAAATTAATTTAATTTTTAAATTAACAATAAAATATGTTCATGTAAACATGTACCTACTTACTGTGTTTTAAGCAATATATATAGATACAAATTTATAATATAATTTATAAATTTATAATAAAATACTTCTACGGATTTTTAACATAATGAGTAAGAACAGAAGATGCAAATTTAAAGATGATCTAAGAAGTGAATTTCCTTTTGTTAAAAAACCCAAAAGCGATTACATGGTAAAATGTGAGAAATGTAATGGTGAATTTTCTATTTTCGCCCGGCTGGAAGAATGATATTTCAAATCAGTCGGGGACACAGAAACATAAAAGATATTTAAATACTATTGCATCTTCCTTCAAAATGCAGGAATTCTTTCGGAAAACAATTTATGGAGACGAAGAAAAGAATTAGCATTAGCAGAAGGACTTATGCATTTTCATGCTAATAATCACAATCATTCCTTCAGATCTTGTGCATCACAAGTTGTCCAAAAGTTATTCAACAAAAAACGACAGCAATCTACTTAAAGGATTTACTCAAATGAGAAATATTCCAAAGAATAAATTAATACTATATGTAATTTTTAATGTACTAAATTTGTAAATTGTGCTTATGTTGAAATTTAAAAAAACATATTACAATACTATTTTTGCGTTCTATGGAAATTTGTGTTGCTCCATATAGACCAAGTTTTTAATTAAGAATCCCCCCTGTTAGATGGTGTCCCTGTTGTGTCTAGTGGTGTGGGTTCAGTGAGCGATGCGCTATTTACGCAGTTACATTACATTCTACTCTACTCTCGCTCACAGAGGTTCTCGGGTATAAGAGTACTGATACTCTCGAAATCAGATGCTACATCCCTCCCCACTTATTTAGAGATTTAATCTCTGAGGAGCTTTTCGGATGCGGGAAGATCGTCTAAGTCCTGGCTGAGGTTGCTACAACTCTTTATCAGGATCCACTGGAAGGACTGGATCAGTTTTCCTTGGAACTGACGATGTTTCAAGTCCGGCTGAAGTTTGTACAACTTCACTTCTTTGTTCGATGTCCTTGTCCGGAGCCTGTGGCTTCACGTTGCCATCTGAAGTAGCAGCCATACGAGGTTCATAGATTACCGGTGCAGACGGAACCTCGCTCCCTACCGATCTGATCTGATCGACGTGCCGGCGCAGTAAAGTTCCTTGAACGTCAATGGTATAATGCAGCGCTCCATCCTTATTTGTCACTCTGCCAATTTTCCATCGGGAATTTGCCGATCTATAATCCCGAATGGCAACCTTTTCTCCGATCTCAAAATTTCTGTCTTTGAAATCATAAGTATTCCTTCGGATGCGTTCTTCCACTCTTCGTTTAAGATTTGGAACAACTAAATCAATTCGAGTTCTAATTTCTCTTTTTAAGAATAACATTGCTGGACTTAACAAGGTTGTCATGTTCGGTGCCTTTCTATAATTCATGAGGAATATGGCAAGTTTTTGCTTAATATTTCCTGGATAACCTTGCATTGCACGTAATGCTTGTTTAACGGTGTAAACGTACCGCTCTGCTTGCCCGTTACTTGCCGGTTTAAATGGAGCACACGTTTTGTGTTTAATTCCATTATTCCTTATAAAAGTTTCAAATTCCCCCGATGTGAACTGAGGACCATTGTCACTCACTACTACTAAAGGCAGTCCGTATCTTGCAAAACAGTCTCTCAAACATTCAATTGTCTGAAAGGAATTTGTTGACTTTAAGGTATACACTTCTAGCCATTTAGAATGTGCGTCAATGATAATCAAGAACATTCGTTCAAAAATAGGGCCTGCAAAATCTACGTGAATGCGTTCCCAAGGCGCACTTGGATATTCCCAGTGATGGACCCTTGCCCTTACTGGATCTGATTTGAACTTAATACAATCGACACAGTTTCCTAGAAACTTCTTCAATATCATGATCAATTCCCTTCCAAAAGACGTAGGATCTGGCGATTGCCTTCATTTTAACGATTCCTAAATGTCCTTGGTGTAACTCTTCGAGAATTTTAACTCGGAGTTTTTTCGGAACAACTACCCTCTGACCACTCATTATACAGTCATCTTGTAAGGTGTACTCTGGCTTCCCTACCTTCCAAACTTTCTCCAGATTTTAATTTCATATAAAGACTATTTAATTCTTCATCAGCTCGCGTTTCCCGAGCTATCTCCCTAGCTGTTACCGGAAGAGTTTCAATTTGGGAGAGTTGGAATATTTCAACATCATCCTTAATGCTTAAATCTTCGGACTTAAGAGGCAGGCGCGACAGGCAGTCAGCATTACCGTGTTCCTTGGTATTTCGATACACAATATCAAACTGATATGCTTGCAATATCAGTGCATAATGTAAGAGTCGGGTGGCTGTGAGGATAGGAAGTCCTCTTTTCGATTTGAAAATAGCCACTAAAGGTTTATGATCTGTCACCAGAGAAAAGCGTCTTCCCTTTAGATATAGATAAAACTTTTTGACAGCCCAAACAATTGACAGTGCTTCTTTATCGATTTGGGCGTATTTCTGCTCTGTGTTAGTCAGTGTCCTCGATGCGAATGCTATAGGCCTTTCTGTTCCATCAGACAAAACATGCGAGAGCACTGCCCCAAGACCTACCGGAGATGCATCAGTAGCTAGCATTAACGGTAATGTGGGATCGTAATGCATTAAAACTCTGTCTGAACAAATTTCCTTTTTTATTTTTTCAAAAGCGATTTGGCAGTTTTTTGACCAACTCCATTTAACATCTTTTTTTGTTAAATTATTTAAGGGATGTGCCAAAGTTGCCAGAATTAGGGCAAAATTTGGCATAAAAATTCACTAATCCCAAAAAGCTTTTGATGTCTTGGACGCCTTTCGGCGTAGGGGCATTAGCAATTGCCGAAATCTTTTCATCCGTTTTATGCAATCCATCGGCATCAATTTTATGCCCTAAAAATTTAATCTCATTTTGAAAAAATTTACTTTTAGTTAAGTTTAATTTTAGGCCGTGCTCCTTGCATTTTTTGAAAAATATTTCCAATGCTTTTAAATGAGACTGATCATCCGGTCCTGTCACTCGAGCATCATCCATAAAAATTTTAATTCCTTCGATCCCCTGAAATAATCCCTCAACATAGCGCTGCCAAATAGCTGGGGCAGCATTTAATCCATACATTAAGCGTTTACAAATATACAACCCCTTATGCGTGTTTATTGTTAATAACCGTTGGCTCTCCGGATGCACCTTCATTTGTAGATAAGCATGACTGAAATCAAGTTTCGAAAAATTTTTACCTCCATTAAGGCATGAAAATATTTCTTCGAGTTTTGGTAATGGATGCTGTGGCACTTCCAAATTAGGATTCAGAGTCACAGAATAATCAGCACAAAGCCTAATGGAACCATCAGATTTAACAATTGGCACAACTGGTGTTGCCCATTCTGAAGTCTCAACCCTCTCAATGATACCTTCTTTCTCAAGCCGATCAATTTCTGATTCAACTCTATTTTTTAATGCGAAAGGTACCGGTCGTGACCTACAAAATATTGGTTGAGTATTAGGTTTCAAATTTAGTTTTACTTCGTGATTGTTAATTTCACCTAGTTTACCTTCAAAAATTTCCTTATACTCCTCAAGCAATTTTTTTAAATTCAATTCACTAGAAGTTTTCAATGCTTTGATGGCATTCCAATCGAGATTGATTTTATACAGCCATTCTCGGCCGAAGATTGTGTCCAAATTTTCCTTCACAATGTATAGATTTAAAACTAATTTTTGACCTTGGTATTCAACTTTAACAGGAACATATCCTAAAGGTACCACCTTATCACCCCTGTAAGTTTTAAAAACTAAATTTGTAGGCTGAATCTTTTTATTGGAAATTTTTCTAAATTTATTTATAGACATTACCGAAACTATTCCCCCAGTATCAAGTTCCATGCTAACTGGTTTGTTTTCAGTTTTAACTTGAACCATTACTGGCGGTCTTTTCGGCTATTCCTCTCTTAACATGTGCGTTCTGGAGTTAAATCCATAGATGGGGACCTCATTTTTCGAATCATAATCATTATTTGCCTCAACTTTCTTTTGTTTAACCTGTCGGTTTTTCCTAGACAAATAACACGCCTTTTCGATATGTCCAATTTTTTTTACAAAAGCGGCATTCACTTGTTGCAAATCTACAGTTGTTTTTATTGTGATTTGCTCCTAAGCAACGCGAACAAGTTTCATTTTTACCTTTATTATTCTTAGCAACAAAGTTTTGTTTCCGCGGTTTGGACTCATTTTTCTTGGTTTTAAGTACCTTCAGTTCTACGGAATTTCCTATAATCTCATTTGCACCCTTAACCGCCTTTTCCATCGCCAAGGCTATCTTTAATGTTTTCTCTAAATCGATATCATCTTCCTGAAATAATCGATCTAAGATATTACGATCTCGTAGACCGCTAACGAAAACATCCCTTAACATTGGTATTTAGCATATCCTCTTTATATTCACAAGGAATCGCTAACGAGCGTAATTCAGTGACATAACTACTAATTGATTCCCCCTCATGCTGTTTTCTATTAATAAACATGTGCCGACTAGGTATTATTAAAGCTTTAGGATTTAAATGATCCTTAAGAACCTTTTTTAGTTCGGTAAAATTTTTATCTGAAGGATTATCCGGAGAGAGTAAATTTTTCAACAAATTATACAATTTCGCATTCAAGCTTGAGATCAGAACTTTCCCACGTTTTGCCTCTGGAACATTTTGAATGTCCAAAAAAGCCTCAAATCGTTCTATGCACGAATCAAAATTTTCTACCGTTTCATTGACTTATCAAAAGAAACTGAAATTGTGTCTTGTTTATGTTCCGATTTCTCTTGCAATGCGACCATTAAAGCTTCATTCTGCTTTACCAATTCTTCAGTTAACTTCTCCATCCTTTCAAAATAAAAATCAAATAACTTTCCTACCTTTTGCAGTTTTCGGGGAATCCCCTAATCCAAGTTTCGGTTTTGCTACTACTTACGCATGTAACCTCCTTGCATGTAACCGAGTGCACCGAGTCGGGAACGATTTTCTTCTCACACAGCCTCGTCGCCAACTTGTGTCTAGCGATGTGGGTTCAGTGAAGTGCATGACGCAACCAAAAGTTACCAGTTCACGCCACAAACATTTATTTGTAACTAACTCATAAGACAGATGCGCTATTTACGCAGTTACATTACATTCTACTCTACTCTCGCTCACAGAGATTCTCGGCTATAAGAGTACTGATACTCTCGAAATCAGATGCTACAGTCCCGCTTTATCAATGTTAAAATCTTGTCACCTTACAAAAAAGGATTTTATCACCTTACATACTTTTATTTTGTTTGGAGAGGGTGTTCAAATATATAAAGACATTGAAGATTAGTGCCAGATGGAAAAACTCCAAATAATTTGCAGATCATATCAAAATATTAAATTTCATTTTTATGAATTATTTTTTTTTCAAAACTCTTTTATTTAGTTTATTTTTTATTTGTTTTGCAGCTGAGGATGGTGGTTCGGTAAAACCATCGAAACTAGTCCTGTGAAAATTTTGGAAATATAACGCTGATTTTTGTTGTTTGACTTCTGAATTGGAGATGATTAAAATTTAAAGTTACATAAAGGCACCCATGCCACATTCGCGCATGAATCACAACTTGACCCCCACACACGCACATCCCGTTAGCTGAAATTAACTCAACCGCTTTACATTCCAGTTAACATGTTAATATTTTTCCCATCCTGCAGTACATTAGGTTCAAATTTTAGCTAAGCTCACATTTCTTTCACTTTTGACTTCTCAATTGAGTAATAGTAAATTTGTATAATGCGGATACGTAGCGGATCTATTAATTTTGAGGTAATATTTCTGCTAAAAATGCTTTAAAAAATCCTTAAAAAAACTTATATTTGAGATCTATTCAGTCAAAGATTAACAGACATAAATTACTCAAAAAAAACAACATTAGATTGGCATATATTTTGATTGCTTTCTAAAGCAGGTCCCTACTTTTCAGAAGCAGAAAACTTTTACCAGTACTTCGGATAATTTTTTCTTTTTCTTTCTTTCTTGAAGAAGAAGGACTTATTTCAGATAACTTCCGAAATCAATAGTTTCATTCAAAATCTATTGCAATAACCTTTCTACCTAATTTTAAAATAACTGACTAAACAAATGCATGAAACTGAGATAATCTAATTTTAGAATTTCTTAGATGAAATGATTTCGAAACTGACAGAAAAACTAAATTCTTACACAAGAACAGGTTTTTTTTTTTTTTTTTTTTTTTTTTTTTTTTTCAATTTTACATCAGTTAATGTTACGTAACTGTGGCAAATATGAATTTTAATTAATTAATTTAAAAGAAAAGTTACATTACGACAGCCTTTCCGCTATGGTAGTAACTCAAGTTTACATATATATTTTTCTTCTAATTGAATACGAAAAAAGTATATAACTTAAATGAAACTTAATATACTCTCATTGAATGAAATTCTGAAACACTAAAGTATGAACGTAGGTTTTGCTACACTAGTGCTGCCATCTTTGAACAGCAATATGAATTAAATCTGTAAAAAAATTATCGCTAAACTAAAAAACATGAACTTAGGCCAGGGGTGGGCAACCTGCTTCTCTTTGGATGTCAAGCTGCGGCTTTTTAGTTCCATACGCAACTATTATTTATTTTATCCCCCCCCTGAAAAAAAAAAAGAGAGAGAGAGAGAGAAGAACTGAAGAAGAGCATCGAGAATTTAATCGGGATTAGACGTAGTCGTTCGCTTTCATATGCAACTCAGATGGCCTTCCGACTTGTCTCATTTGCCGCGAAAAACTCGCACACAATAAGAAATCAAATTTAGAGAGACACTTCACTAAAAAACATACTCAATTTGCTAGTAAGTATCCAGCCGGAGAAGAACGAA